AGTATTCCAATTTCAGTTGTTGAGTGTGCAAATTTGAATTTCAAATCTTATTATTCTGCACCTCTGGCTTAGGGGAACAATTAGGGGATCAAATGAAACATTAGCTATTTATTCCAGATGACTAAATTACTGCCAGAAGGGAAGATGAGAGACAATATTGAGATGTTGGGCAATGAAACTGCAACACCTGCTGCTCATGTGTGGGAGGTTCCATGGCTATGTTGTCGCCATCGCTCCAAGAAATTTTCAAGAAACTTCCACCATATCATATATATGTACGTGGCAACCGCGGCTTCAGACGGCTGCTGTCGCAGGAGCTTAGCATGACACACTAGTCACTTCAGCAGTTAGATCATCACTCATAGCAGTATTCAAATGGGGTTGAAAATATTTACTCAATACTTCTGGCAAATAATTGAAAAACTCTTTAGTGGAGAAAATTACTTCATAATAATCGTGGCGCTTTGATATTCGTAACGATGAAGGTTCCTTCTGAACGAAAAATATTTTGCGAAGAATCACTTCACGAATTCGGTCAACCGCAGTAAACGTGTTATTTGTTTTGAAATTAGCAAACATAATCTCACACTAGATAGTGGAGATGCCATTTTATACGGCTCCACTAAATACGTACCTTTAGAATAAGATCATTATTTATTAACAAAAGAGTGGCCCTTTTCAGCTTTTTGCATCATCTCGTGATTCATCATAATCCAAAAAAAATATAAAACCTGGTAAACGCTGATCTTTTTCAAATAAATATACCCATGGACTGGACCTGTATGGATGAGATTTTCAAACTCAACTAAAACTCAATCAGTCACCGTCACATGGTCGAGTGCGAATGGAAATGTAAGAATTAATGCTTTCCACAGAAACCAAGACCTCAATCATAGGCGGAGCCGGCCATCCAATTGAATTTTTTATTAAAAAAACATACTCGTACAGTTCTTTTAAATCTGCATGCGGAAGTAATCAACTACAAAGTCAAGATTAGGTAGCAAAGGCTTAAAAAAATATAACTCAGTACTCACTGCAGTGAGTGACAGAGAGCGCATTTTTTCGTCGACGAAAAGTCACGGACGGACAGACAGACAGACGGACGAGCACAATAGCGCATTTTTTCCATAAATGAGAAAATGCGCTAAAAAGCAATATGCGGTTTATCTCATACTGGCTACAGTATAAACTGTAGGTTCATTTGAGTTTTCTAGGGCAATACTGCTAAACTTGACTGATAAGATGCTTTGGAGTTCGTTGACAGAATCAAAGTATGAAACACATAAACCTGTCGCAGACTTGCATTGTGTCCTAGTACTCGTATTTATCATAGCTTCAAAATATTGTAGTTTACTAACCCAAATTTCTCAACACACGCTCCATGCACTATTTTTAGTTCACGTGGTTTAGTAGATATTGACTTGCACTCTTGACACAGATGAGTAAACTCAACGCCTTACGTAGTTATAAAATATGTAATAACTAATAAGTCTCAAACTAGCTATAGTTACCGCCAGTTTTTTATAATTGATTGTCGTCAAGGTACCTCATTGTTATATTTTCATCCAAGACAAAATAGGATCACGTTTTCGATGGGACTAAGTCCATGTAAACACATGATCATAATCCCATCGTGAACATTAATTTACTTGGATATATTATCAATAACATCCGTTTAGAACAATGAATATCTGAGGCCTTATTGGTGGCACAAAGTTGTATGTGATCGTTAAGGCTTTTGATTAAACATAATTGTCTCTATTGCCTTTCATTTCACACTTTATTACCATGTTTGCTTTCTACCTCGACGAATCACATAGAAGTTTAGTTTGACTAAAAGTGCCTATGATATTTTTTTGCAGTTGAGATATTTATGTACTTCTTTATGTACTTCAACAATATTTATTTTGAGATTTTTTCCAGTAAAAAATTTGAAAATTTGCAAATTATAACATAATACGCAACAACAAAGCAAAACGACGCTAATGTCGATTTGGTCAACACCAGAAGTTGCCACGTGAGCATTTTCCCGGCCATGTTCGTCGATTTGGGCCTTTTCGAATTGATTTAGCCGGCTAAAGTATGTCAGGGCCAGACAATTAACATACCTATTAAACTCTATCAGCCATTTAAAATAATTTTAGCACCTCAATTAACAAATGTATATTTAACTGGGACTTTTTTTGTTAAATTTGTGGGCATATATTTGGCAGAATCTCTTGCCGCCCATATATGGCAACTCTGAAAATATTAGCCTATGGTAGTGCAAAAAAAAATCTGAATTAATAATAAAATCTTTACCACTCAAAAGGGACAAAAATGTAAAAAAACATTATACAATTATCAATGATATGCAATATAAAATATTATTACTCGAAATTAATAATTACTAGAATTATTTATTTCCGTCGAAGTTGGTGCACAGTGTGGGCAGAAAGCATAGTGGAGCTGAATCTAACAACACGCGAATCGATAAATTGATTGATATTATTTGTTTTTTTACCCATTTGATGCATCTCCAACAATTTTCAAATAAAGTGTCAACACTTTTTAGCGCACTTTCTCATTTATGGAAAAATGCACTATTGTGCTCGCCATGTCCGTCTGTCCGTCCGTCCGTCTGTCTGCGCGTCCGTGACTTCACGTTTTCGTCGACGAGAAAATGCGCTCTCTGTCACTCACTGCAGTGAGTACTGAGTTATATTTTTTGACATTTTTTTAGGCTGAGGGCCGCCATTTAAAAACCAACAGAAGGATTCACTTCACTGGGTTGTTTGTTTTCATTCTCATGTTATTAACTAGAATTTGAAACAAGAACCAACACCAGGGGCCACAGCTATAAACTAAAAAAACTGCGCTGCAACTTCTCCACGCGACAAAATTTCTTCTCGCTTCTAATCACCGACATGTGGAACAGCCTCCCCGATGACTTCGTTGGCGCTCTAAGTATGAACACGTTCAAGAACAGACTAGATAAAGCTATGGAAAAATATATGTTCAGATTTGAAATACCTAGCACCATATCGAACCCGGTGGAAGTCGAGTAGCTATTTCAAACTTTCGTCAGTCGTGAAAAGATCCGGTCAAATGACACAATTTTAGATCTTCTGTGAATAAGGCACGAAAAGGAAAAGAATCGGCGACAGGCCACATCAGGCCCACACTGCAGCACCGAGGTCACTTTGTTATGTTATGTTATTACTTTAACTGCACGAAATTATCGAATTTTGTCACCGGCAATGCGTCGAATAAAACTAGTTGCCATTGTGGCCTTATTTTCAGAAATTATAAACAGGTCAGTTGTTATTAAAGTTAGTTTCAGAATGCCACTTTTAACAAGGACTATATGAGTAATATTTACACGTTCATGTAGGTGTGACGTCATAAGCGGAACAATACATGTCGTACGGAAGGCTGAGATGCGTGTGTACCCTTCTTCACTTCAACCACGGACAAAGAAATAGCCGTTCAAGCGGCCTATCGCCATCTTGTTTCCTTCAGAATCAGTTTAATCGTCGAAGGAAAGCAGTTCCGTAGATTTGGGTAAATAATTTCTATAAATGTAATTTTGTAGTAGTAAATATAATTTTGGTAGAAAATATTAGCAATAATTGCGTTTTAATCGACGAATTAGATCCAACTAGGTCGCAGCGCGCAATACAGCTGGGCTGAAGTCTTTTTGGCGGGATCTATTAGATACTGAGCGTTGAAGAGCACTGAAATTCGAATAACATTGAAAGAAACTTATCTTCTTATCTAAAGTCTATGTCTTCTTACCCAAGTAAGACGAAACAAACATTTCTGGCGCCTTTCGTGACTGCACTAACAAAACGCAGTTAGTATGGTAACATTGCCTTTGATGAATGGGGCTGGTTAGGCCTGTCGCCTATTCTTTTTTTTTTTGTTACTTGATCAAAGATCTGAAAAATGATGATATCACAAGATCTTTCCAACTGACGGTGTTTTAGAATCTCTACCGGATTTTCATAATTTCCGTAGAGTACTAGGCATTTCAAAACCGAGAGATGAGGATGTAAAAAAAAATTATTTTTAGTGCCGCACACGCTGTTTTTCCCCGTGCCTATCAATGTGGCGTCCATTTGTCCTTTAATGGCCGAAGTTGATGCAATGTGTAATCATGGAAAAGAATTAACACTAAAGATTTAGACTGAAATGATAAAATTACAACTTGCAATTTGAACATTTTCCCAGCGTAATAAAAAATCGAAATTGTAAAAAAAGGGATTAAATTTTCCTGTAAGAATTACTAATATTGCGTAAAACCTTTGAGAATACGATGTACAAGTCTTGCGACTGCATGATTCGTGTCCAGCTCGTAGCAACATGCTCAGTTCAGCAGCGTTGCCAACTGGTATTTTTTCATACCAGATTTCACAAACCTGGAATTTTCGGACATTGTCTGTAATGTATATTTTTGAACTGGGAAATTTTTACCAAAATCTGATATATATCTTGTATCTTCAGATACCTAATAATATAATAATAGCGGTTTCAGAATTTATTAAGCCGTAGTCCTGTCGCTGATTCTTAACATCGAAGGATATTCACAGCTTATTGCGGTCTTGTTTGTAAGCAATTTTAATTTTTTTTTGTGAGCCATTTAGTACATCTTGCTAGCAAACTATGCCAATAGGTATAAAATAAACTTATATGAATAGGCTAATGAAATTTGCAAGTAAAATACACTATAATCATGGTTGAACTAGTAGATTTATAGTTTTTATAGTTCAACCATGCACTATAATATGTTAGGAAAGGTAAAAAATTGATAATGATAACACTAGTAAATTTTGCAGTACAGTGCAAATAAACTTGTAAGAATTGTTCATGAAAATTAAATGCTTTTTAAAATTAAGCAAATTAGCTGCAGTGAGTTTTGCCTCCAATGTCAGAAAAATTGATAATTTCTGGTTTATTTAGCTGGAAAGTCCGAGATTTTCGGCGAGGAAAAAGTTGGCAACACTGCTTAGTCAGTTGGATTCACGATTCAGTAACACCTGAGGTTTCGTCGGAGTCTCGTTTGAACTGTGATCAAGGTAAGACGTGTTCCATTGCCTTGCAATCTCAGTGTGACTATAATTCCAGTCAAGCCATATGGCTGGAAATCCTGAGTCAGCCGATCTTATAGATCCAGGTGTGCTGGACATACAGCTTCAGGAAAAGCACATGCCCACTGATTCCCAGATCCAGCATTTCTGTGAGGTGGAACTTTTGAACAATGATTACATTTAATGCTGAAACTTTCTGCTGAGTCCAGGTGTAACGAGTGGTCATCTTCCGGCTACTTCTTCACCTTCAAGCCGGCTACAACAACAACAACGAGGTTTCGTCGAGTAGTCAACTCTGAAGAGCTGCTGTTGAAAAGTTACATGTATCCACTATTCAATATCTTGGGATATAGGTAAGATTGTAAGAAAGTGTTGAGATGTAAAGTTCAGCAATAAGAGCACATATGAGGTAGAAGACATAGTCAGAATATTCAGTGTTTTTGTTTGAAAATATGCATTGCAGGCGAAATAGTATGCAGGTAGGCCTTACTGCAAATGTACCATGTCACATGTGATGTAGGGAACTTACTGCAGTTCATACCGTCATCGCGTTTGTCATATGATTAGGATTGGCATTGCCATTAGGCTCCTTAGGCCTCAAGCCGTCAAGCATGGTGGCAAACAAGAGACTTTTTGTTTTCCCTCCTCATAGAGTCCTAACTCCTAGGTACTAATAGTAATAGTCTAGGGCTCTAGGAGACAAGTATCAAAAGTGTAAAATTGGACTGAACAATGTTATTATGTGAACAGTGAATGAGGCAAAACAACCATGCTCTAAAGTCTGAGAGACTCAGGTGTGCCGTCTGAGCCTCTGAGTGTGGAATTCTAGAGGGATAATAAATTAACCAGTACACATAGCATATTGGAAAGCAGGACCTGAAAACTTAGAAAGGCCAGGAACTTTACACTTTCAGTCCATTATTTACATATCCTATCTCTTTCTGAATTCCAGCTGTGATTGGTTGATACTTGATAGTTGATAGGATTGTGATTTTAGCCCCTTTCAGCTTTCCAGCTGTGGTTGGATAATGGAATTGTAATGTTATCTGCTTTCTAGCTGTGATTGGTTGATGGGGATGCTTTCAAGCTGTGATTGGTTGATGGGAATGCTTTCAAGCTGTGATTGGTTGTGCCCATAAGCCCTGCCCCCAAGTATGGTATATGTACTACAACTACACTAACTACAGTAGTGGTTAACTAAATTACTTGACTGAAACTTTATCATTACAAACAAAAGGCCTGGGAAATGTGAAAAATCTATTAAATAAAAGTCAAATAAAATATATCTATCAAACAAGAGACATCCAAATAATTCTTTTACAAATCTAATGTCCTATAAAATTGAAACATTTTGTCCACTTTTGATCCTCCTTTTCTTTTATAGTCACTTAACTCACTTTAGTCAGTCACTTGGCACAGCACTGTGGGAAAGCTTTTCAGCTTGGGTAGAAAGCTTTTTTATAAGTGAACTTCCATTCTTAGAATTCCAGCCTGCTGACCGCTCTAATGTGACCGCAACTACGTAATCGTAAACTTGCATCACTAGCCGGGCTAGTGATGCAGAATATTGCTCATGGAGCTTGTACTGCTTGAATATATAGACCACCAGTTAAACGGTGCATGGTTGATTTTTGCTTGCCCACAGCCCAGTGAGCCCACAGGTGATTTTTGCCCAATTTTCCATATAGGACCATGTATATTTGTAAATTGTTGAATTGCCCATTTGACAATTGACTATAAATTAATATACATGAATTCATAGTGGCAAAGCAGAGAGTTTTTTAGACTCTTCCTCAAGTTCATTTTTGAGTCCTATAAGTAGACCAGTAAAGTATCTTGGATACCATCATACCAGAATTATCATACATAAGAAATCTGCTAAAATTTTGAGTAAATTAGGAAATTGAAAATAAACTGATTCTAAAAAAATCACTGGTTGCCACTTTACATGAAATTACATTAAATGAAATCTTGAATTAGATCAGGAAATTGAAAATAACTGTTTCTATAAAAAATCTCTTTTTACACTATTTGCTAAGCTGCTAAGTTAGTTGGACTCTCCTAGTGACTTAGTCTGGTAATGTGATGACTAAATGACATCCTAAATAATTAGTGACAGTGTAGAAAATAGGGTAAACACACCATAGCTATTCCAAAACTTTAAGGATGTAGCAAGAAATGAATGGCTATAAAATGATCACCGTATGCGCAACTGGAGTTCTGATTGGTTTACGTCACTCTCAAAACAACACTATGCGCCACGGCATCAGCAATGATTAAACGTCACAAACTGTTGCCATATTTATTTAAAAGCCTTTAGAATTGAAAATCTACAAAATTTCTGAATTCTGACGTTGTGTGTGACTAAATTTGGCATATTGTGAGACTAATTCTGATGTCACTAAAATGCTTGGTGTGATGACCGTAGATTTGCGGACAGAGAGTTTCAAAACTGTAATTTGTAATTCTGACACCCTGTGTGAGCTGTATCAGAATACTACACAGCTCGGAACAAGCTGTGTGTGTCTAATTCCAAGCTGTATTGGAATTAGTTATGGGAGCGCAGCCATGCACCACCAATTTTGTGCACCAATAAGCCCTGAATCGAACGCCTTGGATCTCTCCAGACATCCACCAATCAGCCATGAATCACTTGGCTTTGTTTCCTCTGGCCTCACATAGAACTTGCCGTGCACCACCAGGCAGCGGATCAAATCTGACTTCCGGGCATCGTTGAATTACGTAATTTTACGTTCACCGCATCTGAGGTTAGGTTTCAGATAGAATAGTTCTGTTCCAAAATTTATTGTCCTTTGACAAGTGGCCGTTCGACCGAGGGCTGGCTCAACCCACGGCCTAGATATGGACGGCTTGAAGTGTTGAAGGCTACGTTCCGGAAGGCAAGAATCATGATGGTCCATTACGTCCAGGGCAGTGGCAGGCAACCCATTAGTTTTTATGTGTCTAAAACCGTCTCTTAACTTAATCATCTAATAATTTATCCACTTAAAATCAGCAAATACAAGTATACTTAGAAGATTCCTAATATATTCACTGACTTATTTAAAAGTCTCAAACCATATAATATTCTTTCTACACAAACAGTTTATCACTTTTTGGTAGAGCAAGGTCAACTATCAACTTTGACATGTTTTTCAATGTTCTCACTGGGTGACACGGATTTTCGCTCTGAGGATCTTAACATATTCCCGCCAAACCTGGTGTTTTGTGTAAATCTGGCTCACAATAGTATGACGTCACTATTTCAACCATTTACGCATGTGTGGAACGAAGACAAAGCTTAACATAAAGGAAAAAGTTGAGTAGTATCAGAATTACCCACGATGTCGGAATATGGTGTAATTACCCTTTTTACTTTCAAAGCATGACTGAATTTTTTGAGGCTTTGAGCCATGAATTAATCCTAATTGCCTTGGGTTATTGTATCATGCTATAACCTTGTGGGCACCACAATGATTTCAGCCCACCATTCTGTTGAGTATATTTCAGATACCTTTCATCTTACTGCTTACATGTGCCATGATTATTTTACAAGGCATTGATATAGGCCTAGATCAAACATACAATTCTGAATGTGAAACTATTTTTTTTTAATTACCAGAATGAAACAACTAAATTTGTGGTCTGAAGCATTTTTTAACTATTTTTTTTTGTGTATGATAATTTGGACCACTCAATATTATATTGATGTTACTGATTGTGAGGAGACTGAAAATCATTCACATGTGCATCAGTGTGTGTGCCTGAGAACATATGCATCCTTATTGCTGGAGCATGTGTATATTCATTATTCATTGATAGTTTCTTTCTCGAAGTTTATTTGCCCCAATAGTTTTTTTGATCTCATTGTCTGTGAGTTCATAGCCCACCATTGCAAAAACTACACACAATGAGATGCATGAGTGCAGTGGAAAGCTTGAGTTCCTCCCACCTCTGTAGCTCTTGGAAAGTTGGAATACTGATGTTGTGAGACAGAAGCACAGTTTCCTGCTGACTTGGGGAGCTGCTCACTTGGTTGCAAAAGTTCGTACATATGTTACTAAATGACCTACCTAATTATTATTGATCAAAATAGATTAAAATATTATTGATCAGACACCAAAAATAGATCTCAGATAAAGAGTATCTCAACCAGGATGGAATTCTAAAAATGATGGTTCATATATTATTTTTGATCCACCAAGACCAGTTTTTTGATCCAACAATGTTATTTGAGGCAAACAAAATGAAATTCTTATAGGCTTAAAATATGTATGACAATAATGACATGTGCCATATGGGCATGCTAAGCTTCTATGAAGTACTGTCAACAGGGCTACTCGGGACGGGCGGGGTAACTCGGGACAGTCCTCCAACATGGCATAAAACTGTTTTAGTAGCAAAACTAACTGGAATATTGCAAGACTAAATATTGTGGCATATATGTCAACATTTTTCCTATCTATGTAGTATAAAGGAAGTTCAAAAATACTACATTTACTAGCTTTGAAAAATTCCTGAAAAAAATGGTGACAAACGATATTTTGAAAAGTTACTTCTGCTAAGGTCTGTAGTAAAAAAATATTTGCCATAGTAGAAAATTTTGCTTAGAAAAAAGTGGCAGACAAATGTCAGCATGAAAACTTTATTTGTGGAATTTACATACCTCAATCCAAAAAAAAAATGGCGGCCATTTCCGCATGGCAGGGCTACTTGGGACACCCCCCAAGCCATCCTGTAAGCTTACAGATACAGAAAAAATGCTATAAGGCTGCTGATATGAAGCTTGCAGTGGACAAGGTTGTTGTAAATGCTCAATGGCATGTTCATGGACATGGTAATATTGCATCAATAATACGGTAATTAATGTATATGGTAATATCATATCAATAAGGGAAAAACGAGTAAAAATCACAGAAAATGTCATTTATTCTACCTCTACATCATCTACAAAGAAAGAGGAGGACTTCAGAGTACTGCTAGTAATGGATGAGTACACTCAACATTCTTCAAATGTTTAAAATGAAGTTTTATTCAAAGTGTCCCAAGTAGCCTCATTCAACGGGGCTACTCAGGACCCTTTTTTTGCTTCTGGCACCTTACAAATAGCATATGGAATTTTTTTTTAGAAGCCATGTGATAGCCCTTGCAAAGGGCTTTGAAATGAGCCTAAACTTGTTTATGAAATGTTTCATGGTAAGAAGTTATGAATGAAAAATCTTCAAAATCGTCCCGAGGAGCCCCGCTTGACAGTACTGTAAAATGGTGTTACTTTGACTCCTGGGATAACTTTGACCACTTTTTTATTTTTTAACAAGAACCCCCAAAACTCAAAAACTATTTGACATAGAAAAATTTTGTCAATGGCCATTAAAGTCCTAATACTGAGGCTACGTAACACAATAGAAAGATTTAAAAAGTTTGCATATCTAATAGGTTAAAAAGTTGAAAATGTGACCCATGAAAAAGAGCTATTATTTAAAGCCTGTTGGAGTACCCCCTCCAATTTTTTTTATTTTTTGGTAAAATAACTCCAGGTTTTGATGCATTGTAGTAGAACTCTTCTAGTTACATATGCAAATGACATATGCCGCCCTCCAATGGGGGAACTCTGACCACCTAATGGCAGCAGTGACGGGGTAACATTGACCGGCTTGGAAATTAGGTGAAAATTACCATAGGTACCTATATAACATATTTTATGTTTGATACACCTATTAATGTTTTTTCTTTATGTTTCAGACTATACAGAGTCTTATATATGGTAATTTTAACTTTATTTCCAAGCCGGTCAATATTACCCCTTCATGGCTGATCTTAGGTGGTCTAAGTTCCCCCATTCAGGGGTGGTGCCCCCCATTTGCAAACTATGACACTTTCCTCAAATTTGTCATTTGCATATGTAACTAGAAGAGTTCTACTACAATGCACCAAAACCTGGAGTTATTTTACCAAGAATAATTGATTTTACCACCCAGTCTAAGATACCCCAAGGTAACAAAGACCATCACTTTTTTTGAAATTACATAAAAACTATGAGAGGCAGGAGCCAGCAATATATGGTGAGTGAACCTAGAGTATAGACCTGTATTTTGAATGTTGCAATTTAAGTACCTATAATTTAGCTAGTAGAAAAGTGGCATCATTTTTTTAAAGTACTCTAAGTTACCCCATTTTACGGTAATAATGTACGATTTTGCGCATTTTTTGTTAATAACTTCTTACCATGAAACATTTCATAAACTAGTTTGAGCTCATTTTAAAGGTCTTTGCAAGGGCTATATATGGCTTCTCCAAAAAATTCCATATGCTGTTCCTAAGGTGCCAGACTCAAAATGAAAGCATCCCAAATTACCCCTGGAAACAGGGTAATTTGGGACACATAAAATAAAACTTGATTCTAAAGCATTTGAAGCATGCAGAGTTTACTTTTCCATTACTAATGGTACTCTGAAGCCCTCCTCTTCTTTTATTGTTGTAGAATAAACAATATTTTCTGCGATTTGTACTTGTTTTTCCTTTATTGATATGATATTACCATATCCATACATTACCATATTATTTATGTGATATTACCGGATCAATGGACATGCCATTGAGCATTGAGTCTATGATTACAATAAAATTTGCCTATCTAGCAAATTACCAAAATAAAAATTTAATTTAACAATCTGAGTGATAATTTTGAAAAAAAAGGGTTCTGAGTTCAAAATTGTGTGTTTTAAGACTGCACTTGACAGGAAATTATCTATGTTAATGCCTGGTAAATAATCATGCTTATGTAAGATGTCTAAAAAATACCTACCTAACAAAATGGAGGGCAGAAATCATTGTTTGCTTGGTTTTAGCATGACATAAGAACCCAAGGCAATTAGGTTTAAGCATAATTAGCAAAAGATCCGTATTATGAATCAAGAGCCATTTCGTTATTTAGAAAAGGCACAAGTAAATTAACATGTTAACAGAATATACCCAAGGCTGAAATGCTCACTAAGACACTGACCAACATGTCTGAGCACATGAAGTCTGGACTGTCAGACATGCTCTTACACAGCTGAGTTTTGCATTCATAGGGCTCAGCTATATCACTTATAAATTGGCACCACATACTAACATGAACTGAAACATAACATCACCATATGTCTTCAACATAAACTGAAACAAAAAAAAATTGGGCACTGAGGTAAACTCAAAGACAAGGCCTGAGGCAAATAAATTAGATTTATAAGCAGTGATAAAGTGTGATGCAAAATACAGTTTAGCCTTCTGGCAACATTTCAGGTTCCGAGCTCATATTTAGATTGCATTTAAAAGCTGTTCACCATTTTAGTCATGCATCAACCAAATGAATACTACTGTATATGTCTGCCAAAATTGTGGAATTGCCGATTCAATGGAATTGGCAGCCAGTTGCCAAATCTGTATGATGATGATGATGAAATCTTCAGAGGTTCCTAAGTGCAGAATTTTTGTCTGGAGACAAGATTTGTTATGCTACTACTTTTTTGCCTTGTATAATCTTAGCTGAAAATCCAATAAAATAAAAACTTCTCTAATATCCTTTTAAAATTGTAGGGGGGAAAACTTCCCACATAAGAGCTGTTGGGCTGCTAGACCATAAAGGTTTATCAGTATTATAAAGGTTATTACAAGGGTTCTATAATATTTAATTCATTCAATGTCAAACCAATGTTAGCAGCTAATGGATCAGTCTGACAGAATGGGAATTTATGAACAGGTGTCTGCAATGCTTGCTATGTGACTTAATTTAGATGTCTATTCACATCTCACTTTGTTGCATGATTGATAATTTTTATTTATATCAGTTTGCATTTTTTATGGTTAGGATGATTGACTCCTATATAATTCTATTCTGGCCTGCAGAGTGCAAGATGTATTACAGCAGTAAGCAGAGCATCCAGCCATGCAGTGTAACCTCAGTCGACACTGGCAACATAAGGTGCCTGGAGCCTGGCTGCAACTTCAGAATTCACAGACTCAAGCAGTTCCAACATCACCTTACAACTGAACATGACATCCAAGTGAAAACTTGCACCATGTACTTCCTATCACTTGATTGTAAGTTATATTTTTTTGTATGAATTGCTTGTCATTGGTGGAATGTCAAAAGAAGGGCTTAAAATGATGCATTGTTTTATATTTCTTTAAGTTCTGATCTCTAAGTACTTAACAAAAAAAAAACCCTACCAGCGGCAGTAAATAAACATGGTGTGTACAGTCGATAGATCTCTTACCAATTTTGCTGGCACTGAGATTTTAAATATTTTAAGCATGTTCTAATAAATTTATCTTTTCAAGTTTAGCAAATTTAAACAATATAACAGCCCCATCTGCCATACATACTTGTGTGGAATGTTTGAGTTAATGATGCTTCATATAAATATTCATGACCAAAAATTTTTCTAATTTCTTTTTTCACTTTGGTATTCATGCTAATTAGTTTTACTTTTATGAGAATGTCTTGAATATGATATCATATTTACATCATATCATGCATCATATCTTCTCATATTGAACTGAATTATTACAGCTTTCTACAAATGGAAGGAAGAACATGAAAGAAGTCATGGTTTTGTCTTCAATATGCTCACGACGAAAGATAAAGCAAATCACGTCTACTATTACTGCAACCTTGGGCGGAAAGTCAGGGAAGTCAATGGCAAGAAAAGAATGACTAATCAATGTCCCACGCGGCTGGTTCTCAACGTTAACAAGAAGACTGGTCAGGTATGTAATGTTTGTGACTAATCTTCTCAGTAAAATTGGGACCAGCTTCAAAATTTTTTAATAAACTGAAGAACAAATCTCATTAAGTATTGTCACTAACTCTAATATTCAAAGAAATGTAAATCATTAGTAGACTTGAACATTATAAGAATCTCTGTGCATTTTCATGTGCTTTAAGTGGTGACGAGATGTTGTGGTACTGCAAAGTCACCTGGAATTTATGATTTCCCAAGAAACATTCCTGTGATCAAAAACTGGGTAGGAAATTTGAATAAATTTAGGTGACAATTTCTATTTTAGCTAGGTATAGTTTGCTTTATCATACTTGGTAATGAAACTCGAAATAAGAATACTATCTAACCCCAAAAATTACATGATTTTCGGAGAAATTTCTTCTTTCACTTGTTAGTCACTTTCTTGCTAAAAAACTAGTTAATATTGAAGTGCATTTTATTCATGAGTATATTTTTTTGCCTTTAATCTGTCGTGTTTTTAAAAGATGACTTTTTTAGTCTTTTGCATTTGTAATCATGGATTTGATTTCTCAAGTATTCAAGTTTTAATCTAAATCTTACCAACAGGTTTACGTTGATTTCATTGATGGTCATTACGGTCATCTGCCGCCTGTGCCTAAACCTGAGGCAACACCGGGACTAAGCAAGAAAGAATGGAATGAGTTCAAAGAGGTGATGCGTTCATTGGATTTTGATAAGGACTTAGTTCGGGAGTACTTGATGAAAGCCGATCTAAACCCAGTAAAAAGAGCTCTTTATCAGAATGAATTTGATAAGAAACGCTTCCATGGAATTTATAGTTGGGCAGAAACTTTTACTGCCGAGTCTGCTGTCACTGAGTGGCAGAGACTAATGCCTAAGAAAGAAAGCAATGCCATTATCATACACAAAAGGAAGGGAGAAATCATTACTGATCGCAGAGCCGAGAATATTCATCATCGTTTTGATATGGAAGATATCCCTGTTGACACATTCATGCTGGGTGTGATGACTGACAGACAAAGTGAGTTGTTGCGCCATTACACCTCCACCATAATTCTTGAGCTCGTCCTGCCTCAAGAAAGTGATCCTGCAGACAGCGTGAAGCAACTTTATGTACTCGTCATGGACCAAATGGGCCGAGAGCTGCAAGTCGGCTTCTTCGTCGTCAGCTGTCCTAACACTGACACACGAGCTTTCAGATCCTTCTTCTTAGCTGTGAAGGAGAAATGCGGCAATCTAAAACCGAACTTACTTCTTGTCAACGAGAGAACGTGTTTATTCAATTGTTGGATGGAAGTTTTCACTGATCATGTCCCAGCTCAATTACTTAGTCCATGGTTTATAATAGCGGAGTTTGAATCAGTTCTGTTCTCGACCATGTTACCTGAGACTGTTTTGGAAGAAATTGGTGATGAGTTTGTTAGCCTTGTGAGAGAACTGGACTTTAAGACTTTCGAAGCAAAGCTTGCTCAACTGATCAAAACGTTGAATGTTTTGCCGGGAGCCTCAAAAGTTTTGGATTACATTTCAGAAACTCTGTTGCCTGGGATTAACCACGACTCTTCTGTTCTCGAACATCCTAAATGGGCTCACCACTCATTACCTGAGTTCATAGAGGACATTGCCTTGTCTTTCATGACCTTCACTAAAGACAAACTCAAAGGCCTGCATGGCTTTAACAATCGCAAGTTGGGCCGATGCGTATTTCTGATGATCCAACGCCAAAGTCAACGTCGTCATCTTAGAGAAATCAACAAACAGACCATAGCCGGTCCTAATTCAAGACAGACTTCCGACCTCAATGCTGAAGCAGAACATGACCCTGCCTTCCAGGCTGCTCTAAAACAGGAACGGCAGAATAAAAAGGAAAACCTCAAGATAAAATGCCGTGCGCTTACCGACTCTCTTGCTAAAGTACCTGCGGAAAATTTGTTGACAGCAGGACGAGAAGTTCTGGAAGTAATCAAGTCAATACATTTATTCAATAGAAAAATGTCGACAACATTCCAAGTGAAAGTGGCCGAAGACTTATATCGAAGTTTGGACCCGAGCTATCAAAGCTCTTCTAGAGTTCACTCTACACTCCCCAAGCCTGCTCCCGTCATTCCCTCCGTAAAGTCTGCACAACCTCAGCACAATTCTTCGGTGCAAAACAAGCCACTTATTTCCTCAATAAAATCTTCACTTCCTCAGCTTAATTCATCTACTCCAAATCCACCTCTTACTGCTGTAAATTCCTCACTTGTTCGGCCCTACTCTGCTGCACAAAATAAGCCACTTATTCCTAGCCGTAACTCTTTAGTAGTGAAACGCGTCCCGAACACCGGCCCCATTTTCCTTTCCAGCCGCTCACGGCATGACCGTCCTAACAAGAGGATAAGACTCGACACTTCCAGAAGTCTTTCAGATGATGCTCATTCCATTAATAACCTCACTGAACCTTATCATTTTACTTCGCATCCCAACAATGGTTCTTCCGTGGTGAAAGGATCAAACTTTAGTCCAGTAGTGAGCTCGATCATTTCAAATGAAGACTTACATGGGAGAAGCTTTGGGACTGTACGCGTTTCTCTTCATGACCTGCATGTTCTGCAAATACCAGATGTGTCCGTAAACGGAGTTGTTGTTAAGGAAGAACCCGAGTGGCATGGCAGCCATCAAAAAGACTTTAACCGGACAGCGATCTTGAGCTCAGTCTCATCAGATCATCATAGGTTAGCGCGACCTTCTAAATTAAGAAGTTCAAGTTCTTCTCTACCATTTAGAAGAAGAATAACACCAAATCGTGCCTCATCAAAGGAATACTCGAGGTCCAACTCGCGCTCCACTCTTCCAGACTCCGATATTGACTCAGAAGACTGCCCCGCCATCATAGTGATCAAAAATGAACAAGATGATGGATGTGATGTCCCCAGAGTACTGGTTAGTAATAGTTTTGCTTACTGGCTCGTTGAGGGCGTGATGTTATTTGTTGAAATTCAATTTTCCATTTGATTAGAAACGCTTTGAAAATGAAAGTAAACTAAAGGTTATTCTAATTAATGTTCGTTGTTCTGATGATCAATTAGATTTTTCTTTGAACTAATTAGAGCAAAATTTTTCCGAGCTGACAGACCTCTTCTCGACAAACTTAGTCAAATAATGGATAATCATGAGTTAGAAGTAACGTGAACGTCCCAATATGCTGTCATTTGATCCTTGAGTCAATATCTTAACGATTATGAGTGTTCGTGAAGATCAATCAAGATAAAACATCCATTAAACTAATAGATAGGATTCTCCTTGCAAGGAAATCAATTTTCCTTCTATAATTGAATTAGGTTATGAAACAAATTAGTAAATTGATACATGACGACTAGAATGATGGTAGAGAATAAGGTTCTACAGTGATTTTATTGGTTGAGAGCAAAACCTAATAGAATATTTCTTCTACAGGAAATCTGGTGATCAGGAGTTCTGTTGAAGCGTCCTTCTTCAAATTCACTCGCGTCCCGCAGTCTACAACTTCAGTCATAGGCAAGCAGCGTTTGTTCTCATGCACAACAGAGGCTCGCATGAACAATTCAACATACATTTTTAGTCGGTGCGAGCGGTGGTCAACAGATGATAGTTCCATTTACCTGCTTGTTATTTAGTGGTGATTATTTTTAGGTCTATAGAATTGACCTTTTGAGTACAGATGATTAAAAGTTGTAGTTTCAGAATCCACCGCACTGCTTTACAGCTATTTTGCTATTGTTAATTATTATTATGAGAAGTCGTTGATCGTCCACAAAAGTATTATATATTGCTCCAGTCAATAAAAATTCGTTCCTGAAGGAGAGGAATGGTGCTTAGAGCAGCTTTGAATAATTTTTCTTGAAATAATTAATGTACTTAGGAATTTATTTATGTAATTTATATTTGACGCTTGGAGACGACTCCGTTCGCTGACGTCCGGTGTGAACTTCAGCTAGAGCTACAGTTTGGGAGTGCTCTTGTGAAATAAAATATACTGACACGTAGGCTGCAGGAGACTTTCAAAATATTTCTACAAAACTTTGAAGAAGAGGCGATCGAAGAAAAAAAAACACTTCTGGGGTGTGAACTTGCAGTTGTGAAAAAAAATTAGTTAATGTTATTTGTCTTGTACATTACTAGTTGTAAATATACTAGTCTTATTGTATATTGCAATTTGTAATTATGCTATTTGTCGTGTACCAAAGCACGTGTACATTATCGAATAATTTTAGGAAATTTGTAAGCCTCCTGATACCAACTTCCCAGAGACTGGACGATGTTTCGTTCACACTCAATTTCAACTCAATTCTAATCGAATTGAATTTCATGTTTTCTGAAATTGCGTAGTTGGTATGTTCTTTAGTTAAAATAATCCTGTTAACTGGTGCAAGCACTCAGAAAAATGAGGAAACCGTCCAAATATCGATGCACTTCTTGTCCTTGTATGGGCCATCCGGATCCAGTTTTGCCTGGCGTAAAGACTTATTAGTGTTGAATGCACAAAGTGTGTCAGTGTTTGGAAACATGGACCATTCATTTTCCTGAGTGAGTATTGTAAGAAATATGTTTCATTGGAATTGAATGTTCACTTCAGATGTCAGTTATTTTGTTGTAAACATTCTCAGGTGGTACTGACCTCGTGAACTTTATCTGTACCAACTACAATACCCTTGGTGACCAGAGGTTCCCAAAATTTTCATGTTCGGGTACCGCTTAGAAGTCCCGTATAGTGCTGTTTGCATTTTATCTTACTTAACGCTCTTTTACTTGAATTCTCATGTTCAGTAAGCGTGCTGCTTAAAATTAAGATTCGAAAACTTCTGTGGCTTATGTGAGTTGCAAACTTTTTGTGATACCCGAAATTACTGACTTGAAATCGTTGAGCGCGCAGCAGTTTGGAACCACAGCTACGCTCATGTAAGATCTTTACAGGTCCCAGCATTAGGACTGTTCTAGAGTAAGGATTTAACTCATTCTTGAAAACCTGACCCCATGTGAGATGTTGCGTTTCTACATCATCATTACAGAGTACCACGAAAATATTATTTTTATTACCCTGCAACCGGCGGACTCTTGATATTTTGTCGGCATTGTTGTGCCATCTATTGAACGGGTCGACGTGCATCTAGCAGCTTCAATTCGGTTTTCAATTCTGAGTGAAATGACTAGCATTTACTGTTGGAATTTTTACTTCGTCGTGTTCTAGTAGTCACTTGTTTCTGGCAATGCTTTGGTTAAGCACCGTCGTGATTCTGAGATCGAAGTCTTATGCTGTGTAAAAAATTTTACTGAAAATATTCAATTTGAAGTTGCTTGTTTTAATTAAAATATTTTTAAAGAAACTCAGACTCATCAGATCTGTCATCGTACGTTACATTTTCTCCCGGCTCTAAACTTATTTTCTGTAAATCTCTTTGCTATAACTAATATTAGCGAAGCTCTGTCAGCAAAGGCTTTTCACAAATTTGTCTTACATTCTACGCAATTGCTTCTCTGGCGAACAATTCTAAGCGAGTTTGAATGACCATGAAATATATAACTAATCATTGTACGTAAAAATTTTCATTTCCCGCATCATTTTGAGAAGTTAGTTGCACTGCAAATCTTTTATCTCATTACGTGCCCAATTCGATGTAATATTTCTGTTATGGCCTATTGACCATGGGTATTCTATTCTATACATTACATAACAGTGATTTCGGCGCTGAAGAATAGGCCTGCTGGTAGTATGAACAGTAATGATAGTCCTATAACGACTCATCAATAGTTCTGCAACGTCGCATCAACCTGTAATCTAGAAATCCGCTAACTGAACGAAACGACTATCTAAAATTACACAGGGAAATTTTGACAATAATAGATTTATTTATTTTGGAAAGTAAAATTTAGAAAAAGCACATAATCAATATTAGGTTTAATTCAATCGTGAATCCAACAGTAATATAATACACGATGCGATGTCCTAAGCAAGATAATAATAATAATAGCGGTTTCAGCGTTTATTAGGCCGTGGGCCTGTCGCCGATTCCTAACATCGCAGAACATTCACAGCATTTTGCGGTCTCGAACTCGCAACTCGCTGCTACAATTCTGATGTGCTTAACCGCCCGGCCTCCTTGCCGATTCTGACCAGAAACTGTCGCACTGGGATCGAACCCGCGCCTCTCTGCGCCAATATCTTGGTACTCTGAACTTTAATCACTGGGCCACCCTGCCCTCAAAAAGAGAATGCACAATTTTTCTAATAACCTTACCCCAAAAATTGATCCAAATAGAAAATAATTATGTAATCAACAAATATAGCATTGGGGTCTTCTTCAACAAATATGGAAACTGGGGTCTTCCATAGTCCCAAGTTCGGGTACCAGCATTAAGAGGCAAGTTTTTACTGCACTGGGAAAACCCTTGCTCGCCGGCGCAAGTTTCCCCATAGGAGTTTGATGTCTCTGGCTTGCTAGGTGCCTGACAAGGTTAATTTCGTAGTATATTTTTAGAGTTCAACTTGAGTTTTCATAATGCACTGTGCATTTTTTTTGCTGAATGACCTTTTATTGAGCTTTTGACATTCATGTGCCTAAACTTTTCCCCGTGTAACCAAGCTACGGTAAACTCTCGGAGTCGTGAACTGCACTTAGTTACTTTATCTTTCAAAAAGAAGCTTTCGGCAAAACACCGTACAATTCAGATGGGACTTTCAACTGTTGACAAACACATCATACTGATGTCATCGACCGCCGTTGATTTCAAGGAGTCTTCTTACTAGATGCGCTGATTATTGGCACAATAAATAGGAAAAAATTTTACTAATACTACAAATTAGTGTCTAATATGCAGTACATATGGCGTGCGGCTGGACACTAAGGCATGAGGCAGTTGTACCGAACCTCAAATGGTATTCGATCACAATCCAGTAAAGAACCGCTGAGTTATTGGAAGACATTCGATTAATTTGGAATTATGCTGATACATTTTTATGTTACGTTCCTGAGCGGGCGCTTTTACATCATGGCTCTGAAACAGGATCTCGGCCACTTTCAGTTTTTTTAAGTTAAGTTTTGCAGCTTTAATTATATAGATATTTTATTGCATGCAACCTATTGTCTACATAGTATATTTAACATGTTTAATAAATTTTCATTGTCTGTCCTTAAAAAAATTAAAATTAAATTAAGATCATTTGATACTTCATGTGTTCGTTATTTTTTTATATAACACTTCAATTCCAATGATAAAAGTTGGCGAATGAAAAGTCCGTTTTGTGGCAATATTCAACACATGCATGTGCCGCTATAAAAACAGAAATCTTGAAAAAAATACTGGATTTTCCAGTTGCCTGCTATGGTGTACGCACAAAAAACGTTCTTGAACGAGATGCTCTGGCTTAGCCCCCGGAGCGCCAAACTGCAAACTGGCTACTGGCTAGTGGCTAGTTGCTTTGCAGCGTGCGGTCTTGGAGGTTAGGTAGATATCTCGTGTCGCTGCATTATTTCGTGCGTGAATTACAGTTACGTCTACCAAATAAAGTTGTTGTCTTTAAATCAGTTGTGAAATAATATTAATAGTAGAAATCTTAGTGCTTTTCATAGTTTAAATAAATAATTCTTTTCTGCACGAACAACATCACTAAAACTTCGCCAGCTCAGTTTCAGGGAACTGTGTCCCAGGAAAATTTAGTGTTCGTCTGCTGGAAAATCTAGTGTTTATTTCTTGTCCGCCTGATGATGATATATAAATGGAATACAATTCTTGTTTACTTCTTAATCGTGACACTTCCTATCTAAGAGGTATAGCCTTAACACGCATTTGCCATCTATTGACTCAATCAACTTGCAACTCGCATGAAGTTTTTTTTTATATTTATCGCTGTCCCATTGCCACGGATTGCAAAGCTACATATACTCATGTTGTCTTTCGTTTACTAATTTTTATTTGTTTATCCACGTCGGTGTTCAAGGCGTCAGGCAGGTTTTATACGTAGAAAATAATTCAACCAGAACAAGTTTTTGTTACAATATACACATGGCGGAGCTTCTTCCTGCCCATATAGAAGATAATTGTTTATAATCACATTGTTCAATTTATGAGGAAACGTGGTTATTAGTTTATAAACAAAATATTTATTTCTTCAACGTTTTAATATGGTAGGGTAGCTACATTAATCTAACAAATAAGTTAGGTTCTACGACACTCAAAATTTTAATCTTCACAAGGATAGTTCCCACAATAATTTTAGCGCATGGCAATCAAATGTCGGCTTGCATTATGATTTGATCTTTTGTCGTTAGGCAATTTTAAGTAATTAATTGTTAGTAGCAATAAATGACATCGAATTAAAATGACTGTTTAATATTCACTTCGCAAAAATGGCTAAATACCATTCCGAGCAGAGTTCAAAACTGTGAAAAGCGTTCCCCTAGTGTTTCACTGAGAAATTCCAGCTATTACACTCCCAAGTTATTGAGAGAATATTAGTTACCTAGATCTTTTTTGCTTCTCAAAAGTTTGAACTGCCACACACAAGGCAAGATAATCGGGCAACGATTTCAAGAAATTTCCCCACACAACCTACCTGGTGTCAGGAGCCCACCATTAACGATAATAATAAATATTAATTACCGTGTCAGCTTAGAAGATTAGGTCATGAAGCCTGTCATGTACTTTTCGCAGTTTATTGTGGGGTTCGAACACGCAACTCACTGCACTAATATCCCCTGTGCTTAGCCAGCTCGCGGATTTTGGCCAGAACTGTCAAAGAAAGCTGGAATCGAATCCACAACTAACTGCCACAATCTTGGTACCTACATGGCTTTTCGAGCGCGTACCTATATACCATACTAATGGTGTCGATCTGGGCCTGAAGATTCTTATTGATAGGATAGTAAGCATGGCGAAACTGAAAGTAATGAATAGATAAACAAAAATTCAAACGTGTTTTATGAATTTATATTTTTTAGATTAATTTGCAATGCGCAAAATAGTTTTTTCACTAATGGAAACGAGAGTCAAAGTTCTATGCTCCTGATAAAATGCGGGTTCGAACAGGTCTTTTCCTAATTAGCATACATGAGCTTTATATTATTAGTGGAAATTTTGGCAGTTTCCTCCTATTGACGTCTAATAATGACTTGTTTAGTGGCATATCGAACGTAGACCGTAGTGGTTAGGGACTAATTAAGCCAGTTCAGGACGTTATTGACAAGTTCCCCGTACTTCCATAAGAATAACTAAAAAGTAAAGCCTAAGTAACAACCTGAGCCGTGAGGGAAATGAGGGACAACCCCACCTCCTCAAAAAACGAATAAACACAACAAACAAGGTAGACCGTAACATTGAAACTCGACGCTTAATTTTGGCAGATCTGAAATCAGAAGTCGACGCGACCCGCAAAACTTATAGAAACAAACTCAGCTCATGCAGTTGCACTCGTCGGGTCCTGTTTTCTGCTCCTAGCTTGCATTAATCTGCTGCGTTGTTAGGTTGCTGTAAAACTTCTTCACACGTTCTCATTTGTGACTGACATACATATGACCTGATTTTATGCGTTTTAAAAATTTTTGATTCGGTGATCGACCTTTCCAGAAATCAATGCTCTTCCTGGTGGTGGTAAACGTCGATTTACCGGGAACAATCTTCTTGTAGCTACAATCTTTGCGTATGTCACGGACTCTACATGCCAATCAAGATATCACATTTCGTAGAGCAAATATTATAACTAACAAGTGATGCAAGAAAAACTGTTCAATTCGGTCAGAAATTCCCTGAATAATATAAATGAGCGTCTGTTATATATTATTGCGCAATCATTTTTTAGTCGTAAATAACGGAGAACCGTATTATTTTCTAGAATTTCCTTCTGTCTAGATAACTCGAATTGAAAGCAACAACTTTTTTAGCTCGTCAGAGTTCTGACCCTCAATGCATGTTCTATGTGACGATGAAAAAAAGCAGAAATACTTGCTTCCTCATCTCAATTTTGGATTTTAGCACAAATATCAATTTGCTTGGACCGTTAGAGTTTTTATGCTGTCAGTGTTAGCTCAGTTGCTTCTCACCTCTGCCATGCTATACATGAAATTCACGTGTACAGAGTGCTCTGTACCGATGCTTACATTAAAACTTTCGCAATTTGATAGATAATTAGCAATTTTTGCAAATAACTTCGCTCAAGCTCGTAGTCACTTGAAGGTTTCGATGCGAGGGCATCTATTACTAAGGAAATTTAATAAGAATATGGTTTCAAAATAGTTATTATATCTTTATTTTTCGAGGTAAATTGGTGTTCGCGAAGCTTATCTCATACGAAGCACAGGTACGCTTCTACGTATGAAACCTCCCAACCGACTCCACTAATTGGTTTTCAGTTATATCCATAAATTTAAATTAATCAAATTTCTTTCGCCTTAATTCATCAAGCTCTAAACGGGCATTTTAACCAAAGATGTTTTTCGGGCCTGTTTTTTTCTTGTAATATTATTGACCTTGTGTGTGAGTGGACACCTGATGTCATGGCCGCTCCTGCATGTATAGACGCCTTGGCTCACATCTTTTTACATGCGACTTTGTCATTCAATGTCCAGTAATTTTACTATTCAATTGTCACCATATGGTTCGGCCATTCCGGTAAAAAACATCAAATATTGAGAGTCATACCAGTTTTAGTTATCAAACCCGTGTGAAGTTCTAAAAATATTTCTCGTTATAGGAGAGGACTTAGGCTATGTTGAATACTGCAGACTGCTGACTGAGTAAAGCAAAATTGTTAAAAAAAATACTAGATTTTTGACCTTTTACGTTATCATTTATTATCGTTGATTGTGATTACTCATATATGAGTCACATACAACCTAATGCAGTCAGATTGGACTTCAACGACATAACCTTACATACATTTCTATGTACGACTGGATGGCCGTACATAGAAATGACTTATTCTGGTGAAATGTGAAACTTCATTGACGAAACAACCCAAATTATCGACAAACACTGTATAAAAGATATACTAATATGAATTAGTATTAAATTTATGGAGGGAGATAACCGCCCAAATCAGGAGAGAAGATATTTAGTTCCATTCGTGTTATTGCTTGACTCAGTGGGACAACACTGTGTATTTTATTTGAATTCCGTAACTGAATCCATCTCAACATAAATTTTTAAGATGAAAACTTGCTTCTGGCCATGAATTTCCTCGCCTACGGAAACACCAGATTTCATCCTTTTGTTTTTATTTTGAAGCCACACAATATTCACAGACGAAAGACTAGGGCCTTCGGGTAATAGCATTTGGATATTTCTCGAATTTTCTGAGAGAACGAAAATTTTCCGATTTGAGTCTCTACTGATGTGGTTTATGTCTCATTAAACATATTTCCTTATATTTATTTTGTCAACTTACTTAATAGACATCAAGTAAGTACAATAGTAAATAATTTCTAAACTCTCCCATGTGGGAAAGGTTTCAAACCAAACATATGAGAAAGTTTTGCCATCAGGGTCGAAAGTATATATTGTTAGCAGACCATAGAGTCCAAACACAACCTAAGCACACAATATAAGAGCGATCCTCGAGAGAAGATCGCTGTCGAAACAGTCTCTCTTCCGCCTTAGCGTCATGGCGGCTCATAAAAACGAGTTCTACTTCACTGCCGACACGACCTTCGCCTAGAATCTCTACGATGATCTTGAAATTGTGCCCAACATTGCACTGCACTTCAATCTACGCAAGTACTTCTACTGGTCTGCGTTTCGTGTGGTTTGAAATATAATGGGTATTTTAATGCATAGCTTTCAATTAAGGTAGTAAGCAATATTGAACTTTCATGCACTTGTCTTCAATACAGCTATTATAAATTCCTAAAAATCTTATGTCAGTTATCAACTAAACTAGTGTCAAGTCGAAATACCTGGCGAATACTTAGGCTTCAATTTTTTGTAGCCGAGGCAAGACAAGAAGTTGATCAAATACATACTGTATGAATACGAAGTTTGGGAAAGTTGTCAAAACTAGCGAGATTTTTCGGACAAAAAAGTCGTTTTGCTCCTTGTTCGCTTCCGGTTGTAGGTCAACTCTCTTGTGCATTCAACTCTCAGCCCGAGTGAACTTTTTTCGGATTGTTATTTATTCATCAGCATCGTGCTTCGTGTAAAATTATTAGTCATATTTTTCACTTTTTAAATTCATTAAATAATTTTGGTAATTAATTATTTAAATCAATAATTAGTCCAATTAGGTTGTTTTATTGTTTAAATACTTAATTAGTAATAATATAGTAAATGATTAATTAATATCAATTATATATTTCATTAACCATTCCAGAAATATTTATGACACTAGCTCCATAAAATAAAAATCTAAGTCGGATAGCTAACATACAAAATACACTTGGTATAGCGAGTAACTTGAAGCAAATATTACCCAATAACATTTAAGATGACCGTGACGAACAGTGAAGTAGAAGACAGTGTCCGCGCTACTGAACACGTTCATGACACGGCCGAGCCACCGTCGACTGGACTGAGCAACGGAGTCGCCCGCTCCTCTGGCCGGCCGCCTGCTGGCTTGTCGGCAGGAATGGGCGCCTGCAACCCTGCCTTCGTGCCTGACGAAGTAAGCGCCAAAACTGTTCTTAGTTCTTGACTTTAATACTAACTGAAATAACCGCGAACTGGAGAAATTCTTTGCAAATTCCATGAGCTAGAATTTTTAGATCAAGAACGGCAGACTCAATAAATTCAACTTCACGAAAAAACGTTAAATTTCAAAATTATTTTAAATGCTAACGTTTTATTGCTTCAGAATCAGATTCCGACTAAGTCTAAATAATAAATTAAATAAGATTTACCCTTAAAATCTGTTTATCATTCATTTTTCCTAATTGATTATTGAGAACTTCAAGGCAATATTTTACATCGAAAATGGCGTGCGTATTGAAGCAAAATCCAATCATTTTTTGACGGTGTAATAATCTTGTTTTTTAGTTGGTATCTGTTGGGCCTCATTCAAATCGACGTTAAACGTTCAAATCGACGTCAAAAAATTGTGGCATACAGCTAACAATTCAGTGATAAGCTAACACTTTAACAAATGCTTAGCTGAAAATTCATATGATGCATTTAAAAAACGGATGATTGATTCTAATTTACTTCATGCGCATTTAAATATGGATTTTTTTATGTAGCTTCACTTACTTAACTGTTTCGGTGTTTCCTTCTAAACTTCAAGCTTGATCTTTCTATGAAGAATTATTTATTCAGCATTTATTCTGGTAATTTCAATTTTCTAGTCACAGATTAAATAAAGGCGGGACTTGAAAATTATTGTTACTATTACGCTTCAAACAGAAATTGACAACGATACAGTATTATGAGACATAAGAGAATGCTTATCTCTATATCCATTTAAAATTTTCCCTTTAGATATTAAATAATTATTATGAGATACGAATGATGGTAATGGTGGAAATTTAACAACTTAACTGTACTGAGGCTATAGAATTTATTTTTTTAGTAACATTAAATCACTCGCCACTAACCTTACTCACGCAAAGGCCGCACTCAAAAATTCTTTATCTCGAGCCAGCACCCAACAAAACGCAGGAAAATATGCATCCTATAGTTATGGCACTCCCCGCCGCTAGTTTGAGTCGCTCTCAACTTGCTTTGATTGAGAGCGACTTTTGATTTTGATTTTTGACAACTTTTTGTGTTTCGATTGCTGCAACGATGTATCATTAAAAAATGGGATTACCGGAATGCTTGAGGTGCACCGACTTTTTTTTGCACAATGAATGCAATGTCTTCCTCAGGCGTTAGTGTTGCTACGGTCACCGTAGAAGAAAGAAATAAGCGTCCTTCCAAAAATCTTGACTAAATGACACGCAGTGCTTCATTACAGCCTCTTATAAGATGAAAAGCAAACGTTTTCCTCTCTAATATTGTGATTACGGTAAGGAAAGCTCTTTAGGAAGACTATCCGAATGAAGTAAGCTCGTTGTGCCTGCAGCTAATATGTTTGTGACCAATGATTAATATTTTCATTTGCAGGGAAATCCTCAGAATGAGTTTCAAAAAGCTGCTGCTCGCTATCGACCAACCCACACATCGCTTGTCATCTCTCCCGACGATCCCAAACAGTCAAGGTGGTCCGTGCGTTCCGTAATGAATTTTAGAAGAATTGTTTTCTAAAATTCATTTGAATTCTCATTTGAAGACAATAACTGTAAAATAAATTTTGTCGTTGTAAGGTTTTTTTAATTATTAATAGTTAGAAGACTAAATTTGGATCTGAAATTGAGTTTATGATGAATGATTTTGATATTAATTTACGGGTTATGTGAGTAATTTATCAAAAATTAGCATTTATGTAGAAATGAAATATTCCTCTTAATAAGAACTTGAGTATTGTGGTTATTTATGAATTGCTGGCTTGGACAATTATTTCTAAATCTAAAATTACATTTGCATGAGAATTAGCATTCTTACTGAAAAAAAAACTTTATGCAGAGAGTATCAACTCTCAGTAAAAAATTATACAGAGTCGTATATTATACATTATTTTCTACAGAAAGTATGCTAAAGCAATTCATGGATACTTTGCTACATTCGCATAAGCAATTTTTTTTTCTCACAAATGTAAAAATAATTGTCAATCTTAAATCCCTTCTTTATGCTAGAATTATAGAATATCTTATATATCCCTTCCCCTTATAATAGAATCTTATAGAATTTCCTTTCCGCTTACAATTTTTCAGGGACACGTCAGGCAGACGAGACGAGGCGATCATCGATGTCAGTGATAACAATGCAATCCATGACCAAGATGCTGACAAAAAGAAGTCCCAGAAGCAGCAGCCTGCAGTCGGGATTTTTGAACTGGTGAGTGGGCATTCTTATTGAAGATATTTAATGAATCGTGATCCTTGAAGCTGAGACGCAGTATAAACAAGACTAGAGTGTTCATTTTGTGTACAAATAATACCGCTTTTGTGGTAACGATTGACGAAACATCGGTATTTTTCGCAAATATTTGAACCGAGGAATTCGCAGGCATTTTATCAGATAACATAATGGATGAAATTTCTTGAAATGAACGGTGAACTTCGGTGAACCTGTTCATGGGTCATCATGCAGCAAAACTTGCTTCTTATGATTCAGATCAGATTGTGATACCGTCGCAATTTTCGTGCGACGGATGCTATATTTTAATAAAAATTCACATGAATATTTATTGAAAATTTTATCCACCATCAAGATAATTGTGGTTAAGCTCGCCTTTGTTGCTGTAGTGTTCGCAGTTCCGGTACTCAACGTGTGGGGAACGCGTAATGTTGATGTTGTTTGTGCAGTTCCGGTACTCAACGTGTGGGGAACGCGTAATGTTGATGTTGTTTGTGCAGTTCCGGTACTCAACGTGTGGGGAGCGCGTAATTTTGATGTTGTTTGTACAGTTCCGGTACTCAACGTGTGGGGAACGCGTAATTTTGATGTTGTTTGTACAGTTCCGGTACTCAACGTGTGGGGAACGCGTAATTCTCGTGGGTGGCCTGCTGGCTGCAGTGATGTCCTCGCTCTGTATGCCCTTCATGATCATTCTCTTCGGTGACGTCACTAACGTCTTCGTCACTCACGCCATCAAATCAAATTTCACGCTGCAAGATCAACAACTTGAAAAGTAAGACTTGAATTCCTCGTCATTTGTATACGAATTAGCGCACCATTAAATATTTCTATGCGTGAATGTAGCCTATTTTGCTAAATATGCTACATTTGAAGTACGCTAAAATTTCACATGAACAATTGATGCGAATAATCCTGGGTTTGATATTTCAGAAAATCGTAATCTGACTGCTATTATTGTAATTAACTGCGATACGCTGATGATGAATAGGCACGGAACGTTTTGACTAATATTAATAGTTATCATTAATAAACATGTAAAAACATTTCGCCGTTTATGTTACAGTTCAAACTCCACAACGGATTCCGACACAGAGACAGAAGATAAATGGTTCATTGGTGAAGTAATTTATTTTGGAGCTGGGACGACAATAGCCTGGATATTACAAATATTATCTATTTATGTCTATGTAACCTGTATCAACTACACAGCTGAACAGCAGGTGAGTAATTTGTTCCTGTATGTCTAAGTTCTCAATCGTGTTTGATGACTTGCCGTTGGTATTTCTTGAACTTCAATGTTTATGTTAATAGATGTGAAATAGATTTTCACGTGGCAATTTTTAGGTCCAGCATTCGTAACTGATTGTATTCGTACATCAGATTCGCATTCAGATGAAAAAATATGTTCAATATATTTCTCGTAGCTCTTTCTTCGATTCAATATATAAACTCCTATTTTAATTTTGTTTACTCCAATACTTAGTAAAACAATTATAACATTTTCCCATTCCATAGTTTCACATCGATGATTTTAATTTTGTGTCAATAATTTGGATTAAACAGATTAAATGGAATGGGAAAAATTATAACATTCTTCCCAGTCCATAGTTTCACGTCGATGATTTAAATTTTGTTTAATCCAATAATTCCATAGTAATGCCATGATAACATTTTTCCCATTCCATAGTTTCACGTCGATGATAACACTTGCTATTTTCATATTAGTTGATAACATAATTTGCTACATCAATGATGTTCGTGTTGACATTAGAACGACTGACAAGTGAATGTTTACGTGGTCTTGGCAGGTATTCAGGATACGCACTCTGTTCCTACGGTGCACGCTGCGCCAGGAGATGGGCTGGTTCGACACGCGAGAAACTAACAGCTTTGCAAATAAATTAGCCGAGTGAGTATTGCTTGACCGTCAAATAAATGCATCGTACAAAATATCATACAATTTTTTTTAAGTTCTCAACAGTTTATTAGTTCAGCTACTTGGCTGATTTTGATTAAACCTGTTTCTTGAAAGTCACCTGTCATTCTGAATGGAAAAAATTGGTTAAAAATTTGATGCAAATCCTCAACTTTTTGAGTGATCATTTGTTTTTCATCTTATGGTTGAAAAAATATTTGTTTTAGTAGACAAGTTAATATTGGAAAGAAAAACAATAACAAACACGAGTTATCAAATCATCCACGCCGTAGAATTATGCTAATTGTGTGAATGACAAATAACACATGCAATACTTCCCTCCGGAGGTATTTATAGTAGCCTTACATACAGGAAAGGTTAGCAAAATTTTTATCTGGCTCGATGCGGCATTTATTTCTAATTGAGTATAGTAAATTAATTATCTTTAATTTGATTTTATTTTCTACACCAGTAACATTTAATTTTTCCTTGGACATGTGCTAAAAGTTGTCAGTTGAGGAATCCTGAAGAAACTTCCGTACTCTTAAAAGCTCGTTTTCAATATCTTGTTGATATTAAAGAATTAATACTTAATTACCCCAGAGATCTGTCGAAGCTGCAGGACGGCATATCAGATTTCAATATCTTGTTGATATTAAATAATTAATACTTAATTACCCCAGAGATCTGTCGAAGCTGCAGGAAGGCATATCAATTTCAATATCATGTAGATATTACAGAATTGATACTTAATTACCCCAGAGATCTGTCGAAGCTGCAGGACGGCATATCAAATTTCAATATCTTGTAGATATTAAATAATTAATACTTTATTTCACCAGAGATCTGTCGAAGCTGCAGGAAGGCATATCAGAGAAGTTAGGGCACTTGATCTTCGGGGTGAGCAGCTGTTGTGTGTGCCTCGTCACTGCCTTCACCTTCGGCTGGGAGCTGACACTCGTCTGTCTGTCTGTGATGCCCCTCTTAACCGTCACCACTACTGTCGCCACTAAGGTAAACATGGAATTTAAAAGCAAAGAAAACGCCTAGCAAATTCACCATATCGATGTAATTTGCCATATCGATATTGTTCAATATCGGGTTTCGGGTTCAATATGGTGAAATTGCTTGGCGTTTTCTTTGCTTTTAAATTCCTTGTGAACTTGCGATATAAGTAAACTGATAATATAACTATATATAAGTACTGGTAAACATACAACGAACCTTTCGAATTCATGTTATAAATGGATACCTTAACAACTGATTCTAGAGAACAATCGGTGAAAAATTATAATCGGGATATGTTGATGACAAAGTATTATTTTTTGATATATAAAGAGCCTTCAGAGTGAATTAAGAGCCCGTACAAAAAGCTTATTCAGTAAACTTTTGTCAAATGTTTCCGATAAAAAGGACGTATATTTGTGTTCGTGATTTTTGTCTGTTTTCAATAACCAGTATTTGTAATCGATATCTCCGCCACCAGTTGGCCGTCTTCTATATAAGAAAAGGAATTCTCCAGTATTCAAAAGCGGGCAGCGTAGCTCAAGAAGTCTTGTGCAGCATCTCTACCGTATTTGCCTTCGGAGGCGAGGATAAGGAGGTTAAACGGTAAATTTATTGCTAGAATACAACTCCATCGTATGATAAAGTCGTTAATTTTATTATTATTTGCCCTAGAAAAATTTCACTCAATATTAGAGCAGGCATGACGGACATTATCACAGCAGAAGAAAAAAAGTCCTAAATCAAAGTTACATTTCCTACAATGGTATAAGGCTATCCGCATGCACACTGAAATGACTATAAAAACAATTTGCATCATCCCAACCAGGTTAGAATTCCCATAAATGTTTTTCTCGTGATTCATCATGCGTGCGTCAAAAGGCGAATTAAATCATTTAAAATTTGGTCTTTATCACAGATATGAAGCTCTCCTCGAGCCTTGCCGGAGAGCAGAAGCCAAGCACACAATTGTGTCGGCGACCATGCTGGGCTGCCATTGGTTCGTCATCTATGGGTCCTATGCCCTCTCCTTCTGGTACAGCATCGGTCTGGTGCAGGAGTCGCGTGTCTCAGGTGGACACTATTCTCCTTCCATCATCATGGTGGTCAGTGTGTTCCCTAAGTCCTTATTAGAACACGTACGGTTGTTCATTAACATTATCTACAAGATGAAATATCCAACTGCCATTTTCATTTTTCAGTATAAAGATTCAGTTGAGTATTCAGTTCTGCCAAGATAAGAAAAAAACGCTTTTAAAACCATGCCACAAAGCTTTGATGAGAACCCGTTTAACTTGACTTATCACTAGACTCAAACTCCTTCCCTCTTGCTATAAATTTTTTATCTTAAATCATCTATCTATTTCACGCATATGAACCATCTTTTAGTGAATTTTACAGATTGAATCTTACTAGTCTCATTCACTCGTGTTCAGATGGTTCTCACAATATTATCTGTTATTTTAAACTTGTTCTGCACAGGTATTCTTCAACGTGTTCATGGGAGCACTTTCCCTTGCCAACATTGCACCCTTCGTTGAGAGCTTCAACTGCGCCCGCAGTGCCGCTGTCGACATATTCGAGGTCATAGAACGCAAGTCCAAACTGGATCCCTTGTCTCAGGATGGTCTCCGGCCTACGACTGTCACCGGCCACCTTGGTAAGTAGCTCATCGCTTTTAAACTTTTGATACACTTTGAAGTTTTTATTTTCAAAATTTGATCATTCTGTGCAAAAATCATACCATCTAAGAATGAGGTAATATCGGACAATTGTACATATTGTATTGTGCAACGGGAAATGATTTTCTTGGATTATGGAAAAACTGATTGAAATTATTAAAAAATTACGAAATTTTCTTCAGAATTCCACGACGTCAAGTTCGAGTACCCGTCGCGTTGCGATGTGCCTGTGCTGCAGGGCCTGTCACTGAAAGTGCAACCCGGGCAAACCGTCGCCATCGTGGGCTCCTCGGGCTGCGGTAAATCCACGTGCATTCAGCTTCTGCAGCGCTTCTACGATCCCAGCCAAGGAAAGGTGAGAAGACAAAGTCGTAAAATATTGTGCTAGGTACTAAATAGTCAGCTTAAAATTTTCAGTCAAATGAGAATTTTCTTTTGTAAAATCCCTCTGTTCTACCATAACACTCCAGAGGAAAGTTCTCGCTTTCTTCAGGTAACTCTGGACTCAGTTGATGTGCGCTCGCTGAACATCGGCTGGCTGCGCGATCAGATCGGCGTAGTCGGCCAGGAGCCCGTACTCTTCGCCACGACCATCGAGGAGAACATCCGCTACGGCAGAGACGGAATCTCCTTCGAGGACGTCGTCGCTGCCGCCAAGCAGGCCAATGCTCATGATTTCGTCATGAAACTTCCACAGGTACAATATGCAAATGGGCACTCCGAAGACTTCTAGAAGTCTCCTAGGCTATAGTAGATTTTTTACTCTAAACTGCCGTTGCTGCTTATGTGATATTTAATTTACGGGTCTTGGGAGACTCAAAACAAAGCACGCTATTGGTAGGCGAGGTTTAGATATAAAATAACACAGACATTAGCTCCATGGGTGGCTCTGGCGAAGTTGTGACGTGAACACAAGCTTCAGATTTAGCTATTTAAGCGACGGTGCGCGGCCATGGTAGAAAGCCAGTCGTGGGAATTTTCGAGAAGCTATGACTAAAGAAACTACTTTTTATGCAGTAACGGCTACGGTGATGAGGCCAGCGACAACGGCGTTATATCGTCCATCAACAATCAACGTGTGCGGTGCGGCGTGCCCGGCATTATTTCGATCTTTTGTCTCTGTTTCAATTCCTATTGCCTCAACGGCTGTGCCTGCTATTAGAAATCGTAATTAGCAATAATCGGCGATAATAGAGTTAGCTGTGCGGCATCGAACCAGCAGTCGCAATGTAGCACTGGGAGGCAACACATGCATCAAGAAGAACGGTCACCATTAATTTTGTCGCAAAGCCGGCCGTGAGATATCATGAGAAGTGTCCAAACAAGATAATATCTATAAAAATGACAGAACAGCTCCGAGTGAAGGCCGCGAAAACATACTGCTATTATACTCCTGATGCGGCTACTTGAAAAAATACGGCTGTCGGGCTGAGAGCGTTTGTGATTGTCGTGATAGTCTGAGGCGCTTATTCCCCGATATATTTCAAATTTTAGTCTTGTTTAATTCCTACTCTTGTCTATGCACGATAACTGTTATGACTCAATTAAAGAAACACCATATACCACGCCTCCTTAGAAATTCTCAGAAGCAAAATAGGTGCCACCAAAACAATTAACAACTTGAATATAATACATCGTTCGATCGCTTTGATTCCACGACTGTGACAATAAACGCCGGCGTTTAAATTTTGAATCGTTTCCTCGAGATTTGACTGCGTTGCATTTCCCTTACCTCAGCAATACCAAACCGAAGTCGGCGACCGCGGCACCCAAATGTCGGGAGGTCAGAAGCAGCGTCTGGCAATCGCCCGCGTGTTGGTGAAGAAACCTAAAGTTCTTCTCTTGGATGAAGCGACATCCGCTCTAGACAACCAGAGCGAATCTGTCGTCCAGGCTGCTCTGGATGAGGTACGTAAATAATACTCGTCAGCGCTGTTCAGTGATCCGTGAGCAAAAATAATTTAGAGTAGATCCAATTTTAGATGGATGAGTGAACACATCCAGTAGCTGATTGATACTGCCTAGTATGCGGCACAAAGGCAACATTCATGTGCAGTAATGATTAATAATCCAACTGCATTTTCCGGCATTCAAACAGGCTCGCCAAGGCCGCACGACGATCATTGTGGCCCACCGCCTAACCACCATCAGGTCTGCTGACGTCATCGTGGCCCTCAAGGATGGCAGGGCTGAAGAGATGGGAACCCACGATGAGCTCATGGCTAAAAGAGGCCTCTATCATTCACTCGTCACTGCACAGTTAAACTCTGCTGCAACTCCAAGTAAGGGAACTAAACTGGAGATGCACACAACACCAACCTTTAATCATTTATGAATAGTACACTGTATATATATATAGGTTTCATTGAAGACCAGAGAGTATTTCTTATTGACAATTTTCTTATTATTTTTCTCGATTCGGCGAATTAAGCTCTTGATAGGAAGTGAAAATCCAAATATCAGGTTTCCAAGGGACATTTTATTATAATTTTACGACGTTTCGAATGCAACTTCATTCATTATCAAGTAGAGGACGAGTTTTGCAACAAATGTATATATATATATATATATATATACTTAAGTGTGAAGCCCTTATTGACTCCAATTCGTGTATAACTAAAGTTTCTTTCCCCCTGAGTAACATTTCTCTTCCATATGAGCTTTAAGGAAAGTTGTGAGGGAATGGAGCCATTCTAATGGTTTCTGTAGCAAATCGAATAATAAACTTTGTGTTTTTTTTAGAAGAAAGTGAACCCTCCAAACGGAGATTGAGACGAAATAGTTCTGATGACAGCGAGGGAACGAGTCAGAGGCCTTTATCCAGGTTGGCTTGAAGTACTGATGATATATTTTTAGATAAAACACGGAAATATAAGAACAATGTTGATAAAACACGGAAAAATAAGCACAATATCTAACGTACAATGAAACCTAATATAACGTGTATCATGGGCAGTCGATCTTTATTATAATTTGTTGTCTATTATTACTATTTATTATGTGAAAATTTTTATTAATTTTGTAACCAGTTGTCAAAATTGAGATCGCAATCCTCAATTTTCCCTTTCTTAATTGTAGGTTACGACGTCTTTCCGGTACGTCAGTCTTCGCAGAAAGTCTACCTTCGATTGAAGACTCAGACAAAGTGCGTCAAATTTATTCTCGCTCGCGCATTTTTTGATGGTCACAGTAATTAGGTTTTGGAAGCGATCTCTTCGTCTGATATAGTTCTTGCATATGATTATTCATCACATAATACTGTTTACAACTGATGTTAGGTATTGGCTAATGACTATAATCTTATGAACTAATTGCATAATCTTATTAATAATCTTAATAAAAAATTTTTAAATTAATTAAACAATAATCGTATGAACTCATCTTATTTTCTAAAGTTTCTTCCAATCAAAAAAATACTAAAAGAATCATCATTAAAAATAAATTGTGATGGATCCACGTACAGAAAAATATTTTCAAACGTGAATGTAAATAAAAAACGTATCCTGTGATAGCGAGTCGGCTGTAAATTCTCACTAAATGGAGGAAATTCTGTCCAGCTTAACGAGGAAGATCAGACGTTGTTACTGTGGAAGCTGCTGGACATGGTCAGGGGAGAGTGGCTGTACATCGCACTCGGGGTGTTGGGGAGTGTCATCGCTGGGAGTACATATCCTGCCTTCGCTGTCGTCATCGGAGATGTTTTAGGGGTGAGATAATCGACATGATCATCAACATCTTGGCCAACGAGTCTTTTATGTTCAATTTTACCAAACTTGATTGGTTTACGTTGATTCCTTGGTTCATTCCTGGTATGTTCATTCCTTACGAATATCTGATTTTTCCCATGATTACCCAGCTATTTATTTACAAACGGTGGTCACTAACAAAAAATATGTAAACTTTTTATTAAAAGAGTTATTATGGGAGAAATTACAAGGATTTTTGAATACTATTCTTCACGAAGTCTGCGACTTTTACACTTTTTTCGAGATGTCAACGGGTTTTACTTTTTATTCTCTACTGAATGATATACTCAGCATCTTCTGATCAGCTTCCTTGTTAAGGTATTACGTACAAAAAACTAGTTATGAACGAGCATGCTTATACGTTGAGTAAAAATGTCATATATTAAATGTTTCGATGGAGGCTTTATCGATATTAAATCGATATCGATTTAATATCGATTTCGATATTAAATGTTTCGATGGAGGTATCAAGGGAAAAAGACGTCGTAAATTACTGATCTGTCAGTCCACGACGGGTGGTACGGTTAAGGAGAACTCAATGTGGGGGCGAGGCCAGTGTTCGCCTATTTTAGTTACTTATAGCCGTCCCCTGGCCATTACACGGCCACGCCGCCAGTTGACCAGTTGACGCGATATCGATAAGGATGCTGGTCAGGATATCATATTACAAAGACTGCGAGCTTGAGGGTAGCGACGAGTCGAGCTTAGGGCAGATCGAATATTTCGCACGATGGTCGTGAATATCGCGCTCTTAGACTTCGCCGCACTCAGATTATATTCATTTGAACAAATAAATCTTACGGCAAAGTTTTTGAATCACACAAGTATGCAAACTATATCATGTGCCTTAATTTAAGATAAGAGATAATAACTAAAACGTACTCGCCAGACTCTTGCGGTGACAGACCTCGACGAAGCCAGCCGCCTCTCCAACCGCAACTCTCTCCTCATCCTCGTCATTGCGCTGCTTGCCGGCCTCGGCTTCTTTATGGAGGTACTCAGGCGCTCCATTATGCTGGAATGCACTCGTATTTATAGTAAAGTATTATGATAAACACGATGATTGTAACGTATTATGATATACACGATGATTGTAACGTATTATGTCTTGCAGTCGTTCTTCATCCAACTCTCAAGTCACTTTACTTAACTTGATAATATTTTCAACGCATCTGTCTTGCAGACGTTCTTCATCCAACTCTCAAGTCACTTTACTTAACTTAACTTGATAACATTTTCAACCCATCTGTCATGCAGACGTTCTTCATCCAACTGTCAAGTCATCAACTTACGAAGCGCATGCGCGGTCGCTCGTTCGCTGCCATCCTGAGGCAGGAGCGCGGGTGGTTCGACTTACCCGAGAACTCCGTGGGCTCCCTCTGCTCCAAGCTCTCGCACGACGCTGTTCATTTGGGAGCGGTAGGTTCATTTTGCTATTATTTTCTATCGTATAGGCACTCTAATTGATATTATATAAATTAAATATATAATATTTATATTATATTTTATAATATAATGTATTATATTATAAAATATGATATAATGTATTACAATAATACATTTTATTTTTAATACAACGACAATATTAAAAGGCAAAGCTTCGTGTTTCAAGTTCATGCAATTTTTCGCTAGAGCAAAAATAGTGCTATTAGACCGCTTGATATATAATATGACTACCGTATGCTTTCAACTCCTGAATTTATGATTCTTACTCTCTGAATTTATGATTTTTACTCTTGCTACATATCATTCTCTCATTCAATATTAATTTCGTCTTTTTATCTGTACGTATCTTACCGCAATAATCTTGATAGGTCTTTTAGCAAAGCAAGTTACAGCCGAGGTGTGCATGCCACATCGAATAAACAAATTACTGGGAATTTGGTAGCGCCGAAGAGATTGCACTCAGTCTACGAATGATTAATTTTATTCCCCGTTAGTTTCATTAAAAAAAACATAATTTTTTGTTGATTTATCTGAATTGATGGAAATTTTTTACTATAAGCCATTAATGTTCAATATTTTAGCAATTAAACGGCCACAGCCATATCTTTTGCGTGTGCAATGAATTCAGGTACAGTATTCGTATCTACTCTTTCTAAGATATTAGGTAGGAATTAAAGTAGAACAGACACTTTGTCTCCTAAATTTTCTCATTTAGTTTCAGACAAATCCAGTGTCTTGATTCTTTAATGGTGAAAAATGTACGCTCTTGACTATGGAAAGTGTTTACTAACGCTGACCAGGGGCCATGCTTTCAAAAATCGCTAAGTGAACGTGAGTACTTACGCTCTATTTTTTTGTCTATGATTGGTGTATTTTGCTTGAAAAGCCGTCAACGATTGGCTGATGAACGTACGATCTCTTACCTTTTTTGAAGGTATAGGCCCAGATCATTAATTTGCTGGTAATGTTTGACGTTCTTCAGGTAACTGGGCGTCAGCTGGGAGTGTTGATGCATTGCACCGCTACGCTCGTCATTACTATAGTCGTGGTCTTTTATTTGGACTGGCGACTAGGGCTGATCGCTGGCCCCTCTGTACCCCTGCTCATGTACTCCCTAAAACTCAGCATTAGGATGGACTTTGGACGCTCCTTCAAAGAATCAGACGCTCTTTTTGCGGCAAGCCAGGTACGCATGACGCATTGGAACACATGCAGAGTACGCGATTGTTTACATAAGAACGGTTTGCTTGTCATGACTGAACAAACGAGTTATCTCAAAAACTCCATTGAGATTTAGTTTCTTGATTGGGTATTTACCGCCGCCATGTCAATGGAAAAATCAAAAACTGAACTTGAGTTACAAGTGGACGTGTTGTGCAGTGGTAGTTGCGATATCATGTAACAAATTTTTGTTCGTTAACATGCTACTTGTTCACAAAATTATCTTGACGTGGCCAATGTTTTTCAAAGATTGCAGTAGAGGCGATCAGTAGCGTGCGGACGGTGGCCAGTCTGCACAAAGAAGAGCATTTCTGCAAACGTTTCTCTGATGCTCTGATGGTGTCTCATCGACAAGCCCTGCGCAATGCCCATATTAGAGGTAGATAAGAAATAAATTTTAAAGTCTGTCTAGTTAATACCCAATAGGGGTTACATGTATATTTGCTACCTTGAACGTAATATGAAAGATCTTCTATGCGAGAAACAACACGATGTTTTAAAATTGAAAATCATTCGATAGAACTTCATTTATGTATTTATTAATCAAATATTTAAAGTTTAATGTAAATTTCTTTGACTACCATACTCAAGTGAAAAATGTGGTAAATCATTTTACAGCGAGCAATGCAATTTTGAATTTTTTTACTCACTTTCGCTTCGTGACCGACTTCACCTGCCATATCTGAGTGGCTTGACCCACTTGCGAAATAATAGACAAAGGGTCTCGTGGATGGAGTCAGGATTACATAAGGTGCATTGATCGTTGTACAAACTCACTTAAATTATAGTCACCCCAACACGCTAATTCTTATTCTATGTGAACGAACGAATCAAAAACGTCGAACAATAAATGATTTGTTTAACCCTACTTCGAATACCAGAAAAAAACTTTGTATTAAACAGAAAATAAACTGGGAATAAAACTTAACAATGTCCCGTTGTCAGGTGCCACCATCGGTGTCACAAGGAGTCTGCCGTTCGTGGCTCACGCGGTTGTGCTGGCAATCGGAGGCTGGTTCATTAGCCAAGGAACCATGAATTTCATCGACGTCATCAAGTGAGTTATAAAGTTCATATAGCTATGTTTGAAATTAGTGGCCTATTATGTGACCAATCCCACTAAAATTTCACAATAATTCTGTAATTTTTGCTGAAGATAAAGATATTCATTCTCTATAATAAGTGTGCGGTGGCGGAAGACAACAAAGGTGGAAGAAGACGTAGAACCTCAAACGGTCTAGGGTCTTCAAATAGAATCGACCTATCCATAAAGCATCATATTATTTTCGATTGTGGACACGTGATGACAGATTGAAGACCTGTAAACAAAAAGAAGTTGAGTATAGTCATTTGCAAGCATTATCATCTTCGCGTAATCATTCGAAATTTACGCTAAAATGAATACTCATCTACCAGGCTCCTGATTTAGGTTCCTGAAAAAAGTTACGAAAGACAAAAAAGATCTCCGGCGAGATTTGAGAGGTCCACACAATTTATTTTTATTTGTGCCATTTAAATATAGTTCATAGAATATCCTCGACGTTCCCGAATGCCAGAAAACTGCGTTTTGCTTCACTGTTTGCACTGAGCAGATATTGTTTTTACATACGTCTAATTATAATAGAATTTTTGAGCCTTTCGGATCAAAGGTTCCTACCGCTGATTTTTATATCGCCTGACCTAAACGCCAATTTTCTACTTCAAAATCGATCTATAATAAAAGTTGATTGTCAGGATCCCCTGCTTCTCCATATCAAGTTCTCGATTCAACAAATAAAAAATAATTTTAATATAAAAAAAATTTTTAATGTGAAAAAATTATTTTAATGTGAGCGCAGTGCGTAGTATAGTAATTTGTCTTCATTTAGAGTGGGCGAGGCTCTGGTGTTCAGCTCAGCGATGGCAGGACAGGCGATGAGCTTCGCCCCCAGCCTGGCCAAAGGGAAGGCTGCCGCGGCCAGAATGTTCAAGCTCCTCGAGAGAGTGCCAGCCATCGACGCGTCGTCCATGACCAACAAGAAGGCGGTTAGAAAGCCCTATCTCCTTTACCAAATCCTGTGTTTCCTAAATCAATAAAATGTTTGATTTCGAGCCTCTAGATTTGGTTATTTTATACAATTGATTAAAAACTTAGGTAATGCAAAATGCAAGCCTTTTGTGTACATTGCAGTTTAGCTTGCAGTAGTCACAGTGAGGATGATGAAGAGCTCACTTGCTGATGAACCATTTCAATACCGACGGCTCAAAAATTAAATGAACCAAAATTCAAAGTAATTTGATGAATTTTCTGCTCTCTCAATTTTCCCCAACCACTGAAAAGAAATTAAATTCTCACTTACAAATCGTAACCGATAAAATATACAACCGTAATATTTAGTTTAAAATGCGTACGAGTTCAAAATTCTTTTTCCAGATTGAAGACCTGAACGAAGTGCGTCTCCACGACGTGCACTTCCGGTACCCGAACCGCGAGGACGTGCAGATCCTGCAGGGCCTGAGCCTCGTCGTGTCCAAGGGCAAGACGTTGGCCCTCGTCGGGTCCTCAGGATGCGGCAAGTCCACCGTCATCAGTCTCATCGAGCGCTTCTATGATCCCGAGAAGGGAAAGCTGGTCGGTTGAATGGGATATTTTTCCGCTAATTACTAATAATACAATTACAAATATAGGTCTGTTAAATGCGATATTTGTCCACTTATTACTATTCATACAATGGTCAATATAAGGAAAACTGGTCAGTTGAACGTGGTATCAGTCCACTGACTATTGAAAAATAATCTATTAAAAAACCCTGGTCAGTTAAACGTGATGCTTGTCCACTAATTTGCACAGAAATGATCATTATAATGGATGAATGAAGCGTAAATCGTAATTATTGATTGGTAAATAGTGTTACATTTATCAGTAGAAGGCAAAACATGTCAGTTCAGTGGGATTCTTGACCATTAGTCCTGCTGTGATTTTTAGATCCCTTACAGGAAAGACTATGTTGCAGTAACAAGATATTTTGTTTAAAAATTCAATGAATCAAGAAATCGCACATAGTGTCCTTTCAAATCGGCCTTTATATGAAATCTGGATACGAGTCATTGTATTAGTTGAACCTCGATGATGCTCCGTTTTTACCTACTGGAAAAACTTTCTAACTTTGAATGAACCTACAAATTTTTTATTGTTGAGTTCAGGTTATGTCTCTTTTCATTGGAAGCGTACGCGCCACCGTTGTTAAGGTCTTTTCTTCAATTATGGAGTGTCCACCATATTATTATGAATGAATGAATGAAAAATTCTGAGAATGTTTGCGCCTCCAACCAACCTTTAATGTTTTTCAGACAATCAACGGGGATGACTTGGACAGCCTAAATATACGCAGCGTGCGCCAAAATGTCGGCCTTGTATCTCAAGTGAGTGACACTCATTGTATTTTCTTTACTGGAGCATCAAGCCACCTTGCGTCGCTAGATTCTTGGTAGAAATTTGCAATTCGGTTAACTATTTTGGAACAATAATTTCGTAACTGTTTGTGAGTATGAACAATGTCGTGCGTATAGTGGCAGGTTCTGGTGCCAGGTGATGAAACCGACAATCATTAAAATAATTTATTGCACATCAATCATCATTACAGACTTCTGCATAAAATAGGATACGTAGCATATGTTCACGTGGCACACAGGTAATAAACAGTCTTCGTTCAAACAGCTACGTTCCACAACACGTGACGATGTCTTCCTCATCAAGTCCACGTTCTTACTACTCGTTCCTAATCCGCAATCTCTATTCTCGATTCCAACTTCCTCTAAAACATTCTTACAATACTGATTCGAATCAATTACAAATTTACAATACCTGTATATTTAATAGAAGCCTTATATTCCAAAAGTGAAATACAATTTACAACAAGCCCTCTACAACAAGAGTGATATGCAGATATGCATTCAACTGTGTTGGGCAAGAAAAATAAAAATTGAAAGTATGCCTTAAATGAAGATGAAAAACAGGCTATACGAGTGAACTTTGAACCAATGATAGATTACAATGATGGCAGAAATTTTTATTTTCATCCCTTGCGGCGATCAACAACCACATAACGTAATTTCCCTTGAAACATTTTTTTGTGCCCATTTAAAAACTTGATTCATCCGATAAATACCCGTAAATTAATTGCTGTCTTGATCATGATGTCATGAAAACAAACTTAGAGCCACTGGCACTTTTCGAATCTTCGTTTTCATGTGCGCGAATTTCGTTCTCAGGAGCCGTTGCTGTTCGACCTGAGCATCAGAGAGAACATCGCGTACGGGGACAACAGCCGCGAAGTTCCCTTTGATGAGATCGTCGCAGCCGCCAAGCAAGCCAACATCAGCAGCTTCATCGAGTCTCTTCCTGAGGTGCGATATAGACGAGTTCAACGCGTAGGATCCGGTCCTTGGAATTGCACAAAAATATGTTGAATTTTGATGTTTCAATGCTTCAAATTTACTTTCTTTGATTGTTTTCCTAATTCAAGTGCTTGAAAAGGGTATAAAAACACTGAAACTTCATTACTTGGCTCTCTGGGCTCTCGTGAATTTGCCTCCCGCATTATTCAGTCTTCCAGTGAATACGTGAGCGAAAACTACTATAATTAAGCCACCCATGTGCAGAAATACAACACTCGCGTGGGGTCCAAAGGCACGCAGCTGAGCGGCGGCCAGAAGCAGAGGATCGCCATCGCCCGCGCCCTCGTCAGGAACCCAAGCGTCCTCATGCTCGACGAGGCCACGTCCGCGCTCGACACCGAGAGCGAGGCTGTCAGTTGTATTTTATTAAGTTATTCATTCTTATTATTTAGCATTTCTCATTAAGCATTACAAATGGCTGGAAATATTTCACATACATGTTTGTGTTTGAGATACTGCTAACATTTATTCATAATGATACTCATCACATTAGTAATTTCAGCCTATAAATGTTACGATTTTATAGCCGATACTATGCCTGTTGGAGATTCTTCGCCGCATTTGTATTCAGTTCATTTCTTTTCCCATCCAAATCGCATTGCCTACTTTATCAAGTATTATGAAATTGCTTGAGTTAAGTATAATAAAAAATATTTTTCATGCAGGTTGTTCAAGAGGCCCTGGACAAAGCCCAAGCGGAACGAACGAGCATCGTGATCGCCCACCGCCTCTCTACCATCCAGGGCGCCGACACCATCGCCGTCATCAGCAACGGCAAGCTCGTCGAGAGCGGCACGCACGACCAGCTCATGGCGCGCAATGGGCACTATGCTCAGCTATACCAGTCTAACCGGTGACTAGCATCAAAAATTTAATCAATACCTAAAAACGTAAAAGCAAAGAGGCGTGCAATGGGCACTATGCTCAGCTATACCAGTCTAACCGGTGACTAGCATCAACTTTAAGGGAAGCGTCTACCCTAAAATTGAAAATTTTTACTTTTTCGGTTTTCATACTAATTTTAAAGCCGACATTCTGCCCTATCCAACGGTACCACTGCCATCTCTCAACGTTGATTTATGATTTCACGACATTTCATGAAAGAGGGGCGGGTGGGGGAGTTCTTTAAGTAATTAGATAGGAACTAATTAGCTGGTGAGCTCTTTATATATAGTGTCTACTTGAGTTGTGCTGCAGTTACGTGTTTAGTCTCATCTAAAAGCTGACATTCTGGCCTATCCAATGGTACCACTACCATCTCTGTACGTCGATTTTTACGTACACGACACTTCATGAAAGGGGGGCGGGGGGGGAGTTCTTTCAGTAATTAGATATGAAATAATTCGCTGTCCACCACTACAAATATAGTGTTTTTGTGAGGTCTGACTCAGTGTGCCTCCGGGCTTTTTAGGGAGAGATGCGCATGTAGTTGCTCCCATCATCCTTGAGTGGAATCAAGCTCCAGAAACGTTTAGTTTGGTATCTATGCTACATTGAGCGCATGTTGTGGTGCGCGCGGGACTTTGTCGCGCTCTCCTCAACATTCATACTTATTGTCACGGAAAACCTATCTCCTCCTAGAGTTTTAAAGCTACAACAATGAGACATATACCATTCGATTCGCAAAGAATAGATCTACAAAACGACCTAGCCGTTTTTTCAATTTCGTCATAGTTTGGATTTTATTCCTGAAAAAGGGGGGGTGGAAAGGGGTAAAATCGAAAACTTTACGAAAAATGCTCCCACACCCGCAAAAATTAGAAATTCAAAAAACGGCTAGGTCGTTTTATAGATAAAGATTTTACGCATCGAATGATATGTGTCTCGATGTCGTAGCTTGAAAATCCTAGGAGGAGAAAAAAAGTACCCCCTTTTCAAAAGTACCCCCTTTTTTGACCGTTTTCTATGAATTTCACGTTTTCTTTCATTTTTGTTCGAAAAATTCACAGGAACAAAATGTGAGTTTTTTTTCCATTTTACATATGTGTACCAAGTTTCAGAGTGATCCGTTTGTAAATAGCCGAGATAACTTTTGGGATAGACGCTCCCCTTAATCAATACCTAAAAACGTAAACGCAATAAAACTCTCCAAAATTTAATACTATCTTTATAGAAAACGTTTCGGAGACCAGCTACATCATCAGTTCGAAAATTCTAGAACACGGGTTAATCGGTAATTAGTACAGTCGTGTACTAATCTTTGTAATCTTGACTGTACTAATTAATGATTTATCAATGTTCTAGAATTTTCGAACTGACGATGGAGCTGGACTACGAAACTTTTTCTATAAAGATGGTATGAGTTTTTGTAGTGTTTTCTTTGCTTTTAGGTTTTTAGTGGATTTGCGAATCAAGCAAACGAATGACATTGGTAATCAATACCGTATGATGAATAAATCAGCTGAAGACATTTGTTATCGATTAGTATTATTATGTTTTTTGCCGAAAAGTAGAAATTTGCATAGATGAAGCCAAAATATTTATGAATTATTAAATGGCATAATAAAAATGTTCAATATACCTGTAAATAAAATGAAATCATTCTACAAACAGTGGGCCTGTGATATATATGCAAACAGTGCTCTATTTTTATTTTGCAAGATTACATCGTTTGAAGTTAATTCTGTTTTGTTACTGTGTCTCATAAGCATCACATATTTTTTTTACGCAACACTTGCTCCTTTTCAACCTAGCCAAATATTTGTTCCGGTCGAAGAATATTACATGTAGGAATACTGAGAAAAAAATACAACAATGAAGTTATTTTATTTTAGCAAATCCCGCACTGACGTACCCATGGTCGAAGTTACTATTATGGTTATTAGTTAAACCATGGACGTACCATTGCTCCTACTAACGAATAAAATATTCCGTAAAGAACGTGTGTACCCTTTTTTAAGTATGGTTTGTAATTGAGGAATAGGTTCGAGACTTCATTCATGCTATCCTGTTTTTGTTATTATATATTATAAGCATTATAAGTTTTTTTGTCATTTGATATGACTGAAATCCACTCTTTTAAGTCTCGAATTTGGTTGCACATACATGAAAATCATAGTGATCTGAGAAGTTGCTGCGGACATACGGCCCTCTGACTTAAAGTCGTCGCGTAACTGCGTATGGCATGGTGTATTTCTAGCGTTGTTTGCGACTTTACAGCTCTGAGGCTGAGTGTAGTTGCGCATATTTGGGCTGAGCGTTTCCTCCAGGGCTAGTTTAAAAGTTTATTTTGTGGCCAAAGGTTGCGCTCCAAAGATGGGAAGCAGGTTAGTGGCCAACGGCTGCGCTCCCAAACTGAAGGCAGATGGCGCCTCTCATACGTCGATATTGGGAACCGAATCCATGCACAGCACAAAGCATATATAATGTAATGCCAACAAAGCCTGAACTGCATCGCGTCTCCAGGAAGTATTGAACTTACATTTAATATGTAAGTGACCGGCATTGAAATCATCAGATTGCTGCCATTTCAAGTAACTGAAAATTTTAATGCAAAAATCCAAAAATATGTGAGGACGTTCGATAGTAGAATATCCGTCAAATGTTAGATAACGCAAGCTTGTCGAACAACGCACTTGTTAGGAGTACGTTAAAATGTAAAGGAATATTGATGAGTGAAATAGTGTACATATGAATAAGAACCAACTACTGTTTCGGAAACTTGAATTTGATAAAAACGTACAAACAGTGGCTTTGTGCAATTGTATAATAGACAAGTATAATAATATATAATGATAATATATAATATAATAATATATTTTATATAATAGACACAATCATATAAATGCTCGTAGCTCACTTGTACTATACATAAACGAAAAACTAGCTGCAATATATTAAATGAGGCTTTAGATCAGATAGATTTGACAGCATCATCGTGCGAGAGTTATTGTGTTTTTTGTTGGTGGAAATTACCTGGGAGTTAACTATTCATCTATCAACATTTGAAGAAAAAAAAAGAAACTGATGAACAAATTTCTCGAAAAAATTATCATCAAAATTAGAGTAAAGTAAAACGCACATGATATAATTCGGATACTACGTATCGTGCATAAAAGTCTGCGAGGAAGGGGCGTATGCCGGAGACCAGCTGGCTTCGCACAATTTCACACTTTAATCACATTCCTTTCCGTGGGTAAGAACGCTAGAGGTAATAGCAGCATTTGAAGTCTTTTTCTTAAAGCTATATTGCCGTATGTCCACAGCCACAGCGTATGCATGCCCAAGTTATGCGTGGCCATATAGCATCTGGCCAAACCTGTTCCTCTCCAACCTCTTCTGGCCTAACCTACACGGGCTACACCCGTTGCAACATTTCACCACGTAAAACGAACCTGAGCGAACCTAACCTAACCTAACCTCATTGGCTGCTGGACGTTAAAAAGGCGAGCCAAGTGAGAAGGTGGAGCCAGTTATTGGCTGCAAGAAGTTTGTGAGTCGGGGCAGCGTTGATAGGTTAGGCCATAGTAGCTTAGTAGGTGAGGCCTGATGCAGAACAGCCTGCTTCGGAGCGAGCAAGCTGAAGTTTTGGCTGAAGACCTAGCTACGGCGCTATTATCGTTATGCAGTGTATCACTGTTGCGGACTATGGTGTTCGAGCGTAGACTGCGGCGTCTATCTCTGAGGCTGGGTAATGTTACTGCATGCTGAGGCTGAGCGTTGTCTCCATGGCTTATTTAAGAGTAAAATTTGTGGATCGCGGCTTCACCCCCGGGAGTAAAGCCTTCCATCCGGCCTTGGCGGTGAGGTGGAAAGTCGGGGTAAGTGTGGAGGAAAAAGATGCTGGGGAAGGAGCGCATGCCGGAGGCCAGCTTAGTTCACGACGTATTGACCGTTAAATATGCGGAGTAGCAGCTTGTGTGCTGAGAGTAAAATTTGTGGCCTTCTGCTTCGCCCTCCTCAGGAACAGTGACTCTGGGGAACAGTAAGGCTGGGAACAGTGACATTGGCCCGTATGCTAAATAGGGCACTAGCACTACGAAGTAGCACTATGCACTACGAAGTGTCCTGTTGGTATGCTAAATACGTCACAGACACTAAGACTTCGCTGTTAGAGTACTTTATAGTGCCGCACTACGCTATGAGTCTATTGAAGAATGGTAGTTAAGTGCTCAAATAATTAATTATTCCCTAAGTAATTCTCATTCTTCGCAGAAGATTGATGTAAAATGTCTAATTGTGATGGTAATGGTACTAGTGAAAATTGTGATGGTGAGCTGAACTTCGCAATGCGTCTGCGCACCTTTCCCATCATATATTCAAAGTCCACGCTTCCCAAAGACATCTAACAAAAGAGAGAAGCATGGAAAGTTCTTGCAAAAGAATTCAAAATGACTCCATAAAAACAAAAAAGAAAATTCAAAACATGGTATCAAGAACAAGAAAAGTATTTTCTACTTCTACGCTGTTCATCTGTTTCGCCAAGGAAAATGTCAGCCATAAGAATAACATGTTGTTCACTGAAGCGGTACACTTTTTTATATTCATGGCATGTAGTTCCTGAGGTTTTTACGCGATGAAGCCTTTGCTGTAAGCCAAACAGATCCATAGCTGACGAAGTAAACAAGGTTAAATATACCGTAGTGTCGTCGTGAAGTGCGGTGTGTAGGACACTTCAGACTTTTGTAGTGCGCGTTATGCTTTTGGCCCTATTTAGCATACCAAATTACCAACCGTAGTGTTCCATGCCGCACTAGGGCTTGTAGTGCGTAGTGCTACTTCATAGTGCTAGTGCCCTATTTAGCATGCCAACCGTAGTGTTCCATGCCGCACTATGGCTTGTAGTGCGTAGCGCTACTTCATAGTGCTAGTGCCCTATTTAGCATGCCAACCGTAGTGTTTCCCTTTCGCACTAGTAGGCACTACGGCTTGTAGTGCGTAGTGCTACTTCGTAGTGCTAGTGCCCTATTTAGCATACGGGCCATTGTGTTCATGTCTTGCGAAGTAAGTTGATGAG